TCGCACAAACTACTTCAGAGGACTATACTCTTAGGGTAGCGATGACCTAGAAGTAAATCCATCCCATCCCCTCCTCCCCAGATGTCTTAGCACTGAGTAAAGTGGGGAAAAGGTCCTTGAAGAGTTAAAATCATTAGTTGGCTCTTAAAAGATTATGTAGCTCAAATACACCGTACAGTTTTGGCGATCTAAAAATCCTCAAGTCATGAATTTAGTTTAAAGTGGTCTCAGTTGGTAGAGCCCATAGGTGCCTGGCAGAAGCAAATGCAGATCCCTGTGGTATAGCGATGCTGATATCAGATAAGAATTTTAGACAAAATGTATTTTTAGAGACTGAATGGTCAGTTCATAATGATAGAGGTTTCAGTTCACCAGGAAGGCAAAACAGTATTATATGTAACTAACGTGGCTTCAGTATTATGTAAAGTAACAGAAGTACAAGGAGAAATAGACGTTTACAGTAGTGTGATTTCTCAGTAATTGATAGAATAACAAGGTAAAATTCAGTAAGGATATAGATTATGTGAGTAAATAGTTAACAGTAAACCCAGTAGACATATGTAGAACCCTGTGTCTAACAATTCTAGAACACACATTCAAGTACACTCAGAACATTTACACGATTTGATTGTATACTGCTTCCTAATGCAAGTCTCCACAAATTTGAGAGGGTTCAAATCACACAGAGAATATCCTCTGACCACAATGCAGTTGAGGTAGAAATTGATAATAAGATGACTAGAAAATCTCATGTATTTTGGAAATTAAATACTTCTTAGTAACCCACGTATCAAGAAAGAAACAGTAATGAATATTAAAACATACGTTAGACTGAATGATAATGAAAATAATAATTCAAAGCTTGAGAGATGCAACAAAGTAGAGGTTGGCAGGAAATTTATATTCTTTTTTTAAAAAATTGTAGTTGACAGGGGCTTGGCTGAGTGTCTGACTCTTGATTTTAGCTCAGTTCATGATCTCACGGTTCGTAGAATCAGCCCTGCATCGGGCTCTGCACTGACAGCAGAGAGCCTGCTTGGGGTTCTCTCTCTCTCTCTCTCTCTCTCTCTCTCTCTCTCTCTCTCTCTCTCTCTCTGCCCTGTTCCCCCTCAAAATAAATACATAAACATTTAAAAAGTTCTTAAATCTTAGCAAAGTATTTTCTTTCTTTTTTCTTTTTTCTTTTCTTTTTTTTTTTTTTTTTGGATAAATACCCAGAAGAAGAGTCGCTGGATTGTATAGTAGTCCTATTTTAATTTTTTGAGGAAACTCCATACTGTTTTCCATAGTGGCTGACCAATTTACATTCTCACCAACAGTACATGAGGGCTCCCTTTTTTCCACATCCTCACCAAGATTTTTTTTTTCTTTTGGATAATAGCCATTCTGACAGGTGTGACGTGATAATCTCATTGTACTTTTGATTTGCATTTCCCTGATGATTAGTCATGTTTAGCATCTTTTCATGTGTCTGTTGGCTATCCGTATGTCTTCTTTGGAAAAATGTCTATTCATATCCTGGGCCCCTTTTTTTAATTGGATTTTGTTTCTGTGTTGAGTTGTATATGAGTTCTTGATATATTTTGGATATTAATCCGTTATGGAATATATCGCTTACAAATGTTTTCACCCATTCAGTAAGTTGCCTTTTTGTTTTGTTAATGGTTTCCTTCACTGTGCAAAAGCTTTCTGGTGTGATGTATTTGTTTTTTTTTTGCTTTTGCTGTCCTTGCCTGAAGAGACAGATGTAAAAAGTATTTCAAAGATGAATGTCCAGGAATTTACTGCCTATGTTTTCTTTTAGAAGTTTTATTGTTTCAGGTCTTACATTTAAATCTTCAATCCATTTTGAGTTTATTTTTGTATACGGGATAAGAAAGTGGTCCAGTTTCATTCTTTTACATGTAGCTGTCCAGTTTTCCTGACACCATTGATTGAAGAGACTGTCCTTTTCTCATTGCATATTCTTGCCTCCTTTGCCATAGATTAATTGACCATGGAAGCTTGGGTTTATTTCTGGGTTTTCTATTCTGTTCCATTGATCTGTGTCTATCTTTGTGCCAGTACTCTACTGTTTGGTTACTATAGCTTTGTAGTATAGTTTGAAATCAGGCAGCATGATGCCTCCTGCTTTCTTCTTCTTTTTCAAAATTGCTTTGGCTATTTGGGGTCTTTTTGTGGCTCTGTACAAATTTTAGGATTATTTATTCTAGTTCTGTGAAAAATGCCATTGGTATTTTGATAGGGATTGCATTTAGTCTGTAGATTGTTATTGGTAGTATGGGCATTTAATACTATTAATTCTTCCAGTCTATGAGCCTGGAATATCTTTCCATTTATTTACATCATCTTTCAATTTTTTTCACCTGTGTCTTACAGTTTTCAGAATCCAGGTCTTTTCCCTCCTTGGTTAAATTTATTCCTAGGTGTTTTATTCTTTCTGATGCAAGTGTAAATGACATTGTTTTCTTAATTTCCATTTCTGATAGTCCATTATTAGTGTATAGAAATGCAGCAGATTTCTGTACATTGATTTTGTATCCTGCAACTTGATGGAATTCATTTATTAATTCTAGTAGTTTTTTGGTGGAGTCTTTAGAATTTTCTGTATTTATTAGCTTCATGTTATCTGCAAATAGTGACAATTTTACTTCTTTTTTTAACCAATTTGGATGCCATTTATTTATTTATTTAGTCTGATTTCCAGTACTATGTTAGATAAAAGTGGGGACAGTGGGTGTCCTTGTCTTCGTGATCTTAGAGAAAAGCTTTCAGCTTTTCATCATTGAGTATGACATTAGCGATGAGTTTGTCTTATATGGCATTTTTTTTTTATTAAAAAAATTTTTTTTTCAACGTTTATTTATTTTTGGGACAGAGAGAGACAGAGCATGAACGGGGGAGGGGCAGAGAGAGAGGGAGACACAGAATCGGAAATAGGCTCCAGGCTCTGAGCCATCAGCCCAGAGCCCGACGCGGGGCTCGAACTCACGGACTGCGAGATCGTGACCTGGCTGAAGTCGGACGCTTAACCGACTGCGCCACCCAGGCGCCCCTTATATGGCATTTTTTATGTTGAGGTGTATTCCCTCTGTACACTCTTTGTTGAGAGGTTTAATCATAAATGATGATAAATTATATCATTGTATTTATCATTGGATGTTGAATTTTGTCAGATGCTTTTTTTTATCTATTGAGATGATCATGTATGTGGCTTTTATCCTTCATTCTGTTAATGTGGTGTATCATGTTGATTGATTTTAGTATATGGAAACATCTTTGCATCCCTGGAATCAATCTCAGTCATGGTATATGATCCTTTTAATGTACTGTTGATTTAAGTTTGCTAATATTTTGTTGAAAATTTTTGTTTCTGTATTTATCAGAGATATTGGTCTGTAATTGTGTGTGTGTGTGTGTGTGTGTGTGTGTGTGTGTGTGTGTGTGTATAATCTCTTTTCTCTGGTTTTGGTATAATGGTAATGCTGGCCTCACAGAATAGGTTTGGAAGCGTTTCTCCTCTCCAAGTTTTTGGAATAGTTTCAGAAAGATAGGTATTAACTCTTCTTTAAATGTTTGGTATTTACCTGTGAAGCCATCTGGTCCTGGACTTTTGTTTGTTAGTAGTTTTTTGGCTGCTGATTCAATTTTATTCATTTTTCCTTCCAAGTGATTTAGAGTATAGGAAACATACCCAGTTTGGGCAAGAAGTGACCTCGGTAGGAAATTTACCTCCAGACATTCTAGAACTTTAGATTTAATGAGAACAGCTATATCAAAACCCTGTTTCCGTTACTGAGGGACTATGTCCCTGGAAGTGTAGCCTCTTTTACTGAGGTTTCCTAACTGCCTCTTCCTGTGAAAGAGAAGATCATCTAGATTTTTAGCTCCTTTCCATGAGCATCTCAGCCTGAAGTCTGTACTCCCACTAGGGAGGGTCTTAACATAAAGCTCGGCCCAGTTGCTCACCCCCACCTACCCCAGCCTTTGTTCTTTCCCTTTTCTTAACACTCTTGGCTGTGAATAGACCCTGCAGGCTCTCACTCCCCATGAGTATACCCCCTCTCCAACCTTCTCTCTGTCTTGTCGGTTTCCTTCAATGCATGATGGAGCTCTCAGCACAGAGAACTGAGCCTACAGGGGAAAAATTAAATGAATTAGTTATGTCACTGGAAACATGCTGCTCCCTGATTATTAACTTTGAGCTGGGAGGTAGGAGGTGAGTAGTTTCTTATCCATTGATAAAAGAGTTTCACTTTAAGTTATGAAGTTAAAGGCACGTGTCAACTTCTGGGAATAAGTGAACAATTTGGAGAATTTAATCTCTTCTAGTGTTGGTTTGGATAGGGGTTAAGAGCATGAGGAGCATGAGGTGAGGGCACTGTACATTTCAATTTGAACCAATCCCCTGTGACTGTCAGCCCTTCTCTCTACTTGTTGGAATTAATTGACTCTTCATGTTGCATTATAGGCCCCACCTTTGGTGAAACTTGCCCCAGCCATTCGATTCTTGAGCTTGCTCTCTTATTAGTGTCCATAATACTCACTGCTTTTTACTACTCTCTTGGTTTTGAGCATATGTTATTTGATACTATTTGATATCTTCTCACAGGAAATGACTCATCTGTTCCACTAGATTCTGTGCCTCCACAGCTCAGGGACTGAGTCTTGGAGATCTGCGTATTCCCTGGAAGCACCTCACATAGCACCTTGTGCCATTTGCCATTAGCAGAACGAACTGACTCAGTATCTGATAGTTCTGCACAGTGAGAACAGTTTAGGGTTCTTCTTGCAGCAGCCTGCAATCTCAGATGGGTACAGATAGGCACGGAGAAATCCCGTACAGAGCTGTGAATAAACAACTAGATGTATTTTCTGGAGGAGGCGTAGGTAGGAGGTCAAGTCCCTAAGGGGGAAGGATGGAGGGAAGTAAGCCCGGTGTTAATTTCATTTTTCTCCTATTAAAATGCCCTTCTTGCATCCTTGGTCTCTTTTCACAGAATCCTGCCATCAGCATCACTGAAAATGTGCTGCATTTCAAAGGTCAGTATCCGGGCAAATGCTCCCCACTTTCTACACAGCTACAGAGGCGTGGTGGTGGTTTCTTTTTCTTTTTGTCTATTTGTTTTATTCACTTTCTATTGATGCTCACCTCTCTGCTGCTCTTGGGGTAAACTAGATTGTTTTGAAATACATGATTGAAAAAGTCAAAGAACTTATTTAAAGTCCCACTTTTCTCTTGGAGAGGCAGTAGATAGAGCAAGAAAGAATCCCGAGCTGGAAATCAGGAGATCTATCTTCTAGTTCTAATCCCGCTATCACCCTGGACAACAACTTACTGCCTTCTGTGGGCCCATAAAATGAAGGTATTTGGTTATAATCTGTGTTTCTCAAACTTTAGGACCTATGGACACCTGAAAATATGTCCTAAGGATCCTCCCAGGCCATAGGCCCCAGTTTGAGAAAACATGTTAAGAATTAAATATGGTCACTTTAAGTGATACTTGGCTCTATTGCAGCTGTGAACATGGCCACAAACACAGCTGCTAAACTTGTATGTCAGTAGTTGATTATAATGTAGCCATCTAGATGATCCAGACTATGATTTTTTTTTAAAGATTATAATCAAAACAAAAAATAGAAATTTTCTGAATAGATTTTGCAGCTCCCTGATATGGTACAGTCAAAGGCCAGTTTAAGAAACATGGCATTCTCGATGATACCTCGAGCCTTTGTTGCTCTGACAGTCTTTGTTTCTGTGAACTTGCCTCTGTCTCCTTTCTCCTTAGTTCGTCAGCAGATATGCTGCTGGGCCTGAGAGGGTAGGTCCAGATTCATTGTCACCCAATGGGATGGGATTCTCCCTGCTCTCTCTTTGTTCTAGTTCTTTGGAATGCCATTACTAAGAGACTGGGGTTATGGGATATTGAGGAGTTTCTGCTTTACTTGAGATTCCATCTACCTTGGTATATTTGCATGAAAGCCACAGCCTGGCTTTCGTATCTGCTTTTCAAGATGAGAACACTTGTAGCAGCTCAGATTTTTGGGGTGTTATACATTTGAGAGAGGAAGTTAAGTGATGAAAGTGTATCTTGCCAGTTGGAGATTATGGACTGCTCAACCTTAAGGAATTTATGGTCCTAGAGAACAGTAGCCACCTGTATATAGCAGATATTAGGCAAGTTGTACCACATATGGCCAGATGAGGAATGAGAATCCAGGAGGGAACCAAATGATAGACAAGTCAGAGAGTTAGAGAGGAAGGGATGTCTAGCAGTCATTGGCACCTAGGCACGGCACCTGCTTGATTTGGGGAAAGGAGCCATGTCAAAGCACAGGAATGGTGTAATGGGCAACCCAGGGATTTTCATCCCAGATCCATTTATCCTCTCCTAGAAATGAGACGAGGAAATTATATTTCTCTTTTTCATTCCTTTTGGGATGTGCTAAAGGAGAAGTGAGCGTCTCCTTTTTCTGTCATTGGTAGGGAGATGTTAGATTCAGAGCTTTCTCTGAGACAGTCCAGCACTTCTGTGTTCTCCACACAACTCTCCTTAACTGCAGTTAAGAGAATACGCCCACCTGATATTTCTCTGTTCTGAATTCAGCACCAAAGTAAATGTGAAAGTTAAATTTATATCTATGTGATACCTTTGGCTTTGCTTTCTGTATTGCTTTTCCTGCCTCTTATTTGTACTGGGTATTATCAAGGCCACATTGGAAGATTCAGTAAATACTCTGGAACTGATCATTAGAAGGACATGTGGAGATAAAACTTTTGTCTGGGATTCGGCTTATCTAGCTGTCGAGTAGTTCTGCTCACAAGCCCCTACTCATTTTGGAAGGACCCATTACTATTTGTATGCTTCTGAGAGAACTGCACCAAGCTTTTGGATGGCCTTGCTCTGCCTGTTCACATTGTAACCCACATTTCTTTCTTTTTAGCTCAGGGACATGGTGCCAAAGGAGACAATGTCTATGAATTTCACTTGGAGTTCTTAGACCCTGTGAAACCAGAGGTATGTTTTCTCTTTTCTCACTTCCCTTTCCATTTTAGGAAATAAATACTAGTTCAGTAAAATAGGAGGGCAAGGGTTGTGGGGGGAAATAAGATGAAAACCAAAGGAGAATATGGTTCTTTTATTGGGAACTGAGCCCAGATTTTAGCTGCAAAGGAGTAGGAAAGTCAGAGAACCTGAGGTGATTAGCAGTGCAAACAAGTCTCTTCACTTCTTTGAGTTACAATTTCCTCGTGTGTGTTAAATGGATGATTGGACTAAATAATCTTTAGGGTCCTTTCCAGCTCTGATGTTCTGTGGTTTTCAGTGAAGACAGAGGGGTGTGGCGCTCACAGGGAGCAGAGTTACGTAAGCTAGGTAAAGCCCATGCCAGGGGCTTACTTTCATGTGACTTTGCCACAGGGGCAGTAGAAATCCGAAAAGGTGGAGGCAGCTGACCTTCAGAAAGAATGCTGGAAGTATAATTGAAGTTTCCTTTCTCTCAGAACTCGAGGAAGTTTTTCTGACAGGAAGAGAGAGAATCTCACAGATGGTGTATTGAAGTTTCTGGAATTACTCTCTTATCTCTGGGGGCCTGGGCATATTGATCTCTCTGTGCAGGAGGGGTCCGTTGTTTTGGTTGTTTTAATAGCCAGCAATAGTGTAAGGGATAGAGAACCTGTCATAGGTCTTGCCTCGGAGGTAAGGAAGGAAGAGGCTATGTGGAGGAATAATGAACTGGAACAGCCTCTCAGAATTTGAGTTTTGTTGGGAAGATGCCCTAGGCTGGCCCTTGTGATAGAGTTGTCATTATCCACTAAGTATCCACTAAGTTCCAGTCTTGAGTAGACCTTTCTAAAAAACAAGGGCTCGCTAGGCCAGGGATTGTTGACCACTTGAATTCAGTCATCTTCATGGGAGAGAAATGTGGACAGTGAGGATGCACTGAGAGAGTGATTGGAAGTCATGCCTTGCATGATACAGGTCTGGCAGGAGGTTCGCCTGGTTTCCTCCAGGAAAACCGGAACTATATGCCTTTCTCACCCTGATTTCCTCTGAAGTCATTTGCTGGAGGAATCAAAGAAACAGAGCGCCATTCTTAGCAGTTCTTGGCTATCCCAGCCCTTGGTCCAGATGTTCTCCTTGCATCACGGCTTGTAGGAATGGGGGAGGAAGGGGAGTGAGCATATATTGTGAGCTTCTCTGGGTAGCTACACTGGCTTGGTGCACTTGTCGCAGGAGGAGTGAGGGATGGGAAGGCAAGGGCACTCTCACATTCTCACTTTCTCTTCTAGCCGGTTTACAAACTGACCCAAAGGCAGGTAAACATTACGGTACAGAAGAAAGTAAGTCACTGGTGGGAGAGACTCACCAAGCAGGAGAAGCGCCCACTGTTTTTGGCCCCCGACTTTGATCGCTGGCTGGACGAGTCTGATGCGGAAATGGAGCTCAGAGCCAAGGTCAGTAAGGACCTGGATCCTAGTAAAGATCTAGACACAAATCATAAAGAACACAAGTTTTTTGGGCTACCTCAGATACCTATTTGGCAGGTATCTTTATCTATCTGATAGAATAAAGACAAATTCAGTTAAAGACCTGGAAACATGGTTTTATAGAAGTACTGGACATGTATTTTGTATTTTGTCTCTCAACTGGGGTGTGTCGAATGTTTTTCTTATGATTAGATGGGGTGATGGGTTTGGGGGGAGGAAGACCACAGAGGTTTAATTCTTACTGTGTCGTATCAAGGGCACATACTATCAGCATGACTTATCACTGTTGATATTGATCTTGGTCATCTGGCTGAGGTAACATTTGTCAGATTTCTCCACTGTAATGTTACTCCCCCACCTTTCTTTACTTTGTACTTTTTGTTTAAATTAAAAAAATATTTTTCAATGTTTATTTTCTTTTGAGAGAGACAGACAGAGCGTGAGCAGGGGAGGGGCAGAGAGAGAGGGAGACACAGAATCTGAAGGAGGCTCCAGGCTCTGAGCTGCCCGGCTCAAACCCACAGACCGCGAGATCATGACCTGAGCCAATGTCGGACACTTAAACCGACTGAGCGACCCAGGTGCCCCTACTGTGTACTTTTTGGATGGAAGTCACTGTGCATAGCCCATGCCAAAGGAGTGAAGAGTGATGCTTTCCAACTTTAGGGTAGAGTGTCTACGTACTTTATTTGGAATTTTTCCACATGGGAGATTTATCTCCTCTTCATTTATTCAATAATTTATTTATATCAGTATGGACTGATGAATATTTTATATTTGGGTTATAACCCAGTACTATATTATTTATTTTGTTGTTTGTGTTGTTCCAGCTTTGGCTATTGGAAGCTTTTTCAGTTGACTCTTGTGTCTCTTTGACAAAGCTCCATCACTGTGGGGTGCTTTTTTTTTTTTTTTTGACATTCTTAATTTCTAGCACTATAAGCTGCCCCAGGCTTATCTTGTATATTCCCTGCTCCAGCCCTAGAGTCAGCCATTCTTCAAGGAGCTCTGTTCTTTTTATTGAAGGATAATAGTGGAAACCAAGATCTGGGCTCTAGATATTGCTTCTAGGCCCTCTCAGGTAACAGAATGAGCAACTAACTATATGCGTGCATGCAAATCCTACCTATATTTATAAATATTTCTGTACATATCTATCTATATATTGACCAGATGTGGGTTCTTACTGATGTTGGCGACATGATTTTAGCTTCTGGAAAAATTATACTAAAAATCTGGAAGTCTCAGAAACAACAACAACCAAAACTGCTGTCTATTTACTGCCTTAAAATTCTGTTTAGTTCCTACGACCATGACACATCTTCTGGGTGTCTTTTCCAGCTCCATGATTCTAAGACTATCCACTTTGTAGTTTGGAAGCCAGCTGATTGGTTTAATTCTGTGAGCATTGGAAGGGCATTCTATGATGCTAGCACTACCTAGTAGGAGGAGTCAGGCTTTCTGGCACCATTAGCTAGGCCGTTTGCCCCAGTGAAATATGAACACAATTGGAGGAAGTGGCTTTGAGGGAGTCAGATCACTTATCCTGCAGGTGGACTTTTGCAAGCATCTGGGAATCCTAACCTGTGTTCTTGGAAATCTGTCCAAATTCTAGGAAGAAGAACGCCTAAATAAACTAAGAATTGAAAGCCAAGGGTCCCCTGAAAGTAAGTTGCCCCCACGGCCGTGGGAGTTACCAGTTAACTAATGATAGAGATGGGGGTATGGAGGGGTGCGAACAACTGAGCCACCTAGGTGCTCCCTGATGAAATGAATTCTTTAGGATGGGGAAGTATAATACATTTTTGTAGTTTTGAAGAAAAAAGTGTAGTTACATGTTGCGAAAAGTCTGACTCTTGGCTTCTCAGGACTGGGTTGCGTTTAATTGAGCACACTATTTAGTGTGATTATTTGAGCATCAGCCAAGGGTTATATGCAGAATATCTGTAGCCTAGGAATAAATATGTAGCAGGAAAATTTGAACTCCATAGCTCTTCTCTTGAGAACTGTCCCATTTCCTGTGTCCTACCCCTTTGACTCAACCGTGACTCTAAGTTCCTTACTCCTTCCTTAACTCTGTAATTGGCTGTGTCTTCATGAGCCTTAGGCTGCAGACAAAATTAATGTTCCTTATCCTCCTGCATCTCAGTCTGTAATTTTCCTTCTTTGGTTATATCCTCATCCTACCCATCTTCCAAAGCCCAGAGCAGGCATCGTCTCATCTATGCAGACTGCCTGATTCTGACTTCCCCAGCCTAATGTCATTTTCTCACCTCGAAATTGTCACAAGACATTACCTATTACTCTCGATTTTGTATTACAGCTTTCAGATTATAAGTTCTTTCAGGGCAACATCAAGTCTTAACATCTTTGAATCCCAGTAGTGCCCCCTCAGTACCTTGCATGTTGGAGGTGTCCAGTTAATACTTGGTTGAATGAATATATGATCAAATGTCAGAATTCTTTTTTTCATTGTGTTCCTATTTCTTTGAGCTACTTTGACCTACATGGCCTTAAAAAAATTCCAGGAAGAAGAAACTATAGATAATATAAAAATGGTAAGAGCAGGAGCTGAGTATAGCTTTATTTACCTTCTTTAATGCCCTCTAAGGTGGTCATTCTTTGCCAGAAGTAATTTGTCTTTATTCTCCTTGGACTTATGTCTGTGTACTTACCCTTCAAGGCTATGAGGGGAAAGACTGCTAAAAACATACCTTGGAGTGCAATGTTCATAATTTTACCCATTTCTCTGTGGGACTAGGAGCCCAGGCTGGCACAGATCTGGGCCAGATATATTTTTGGGAGCTTAGGGCACCCAGTGGGAAAGTGGGGAGAGGTCACCCAGGTATGCCCCCCATACTCCCTCCTGCTGCACCTACCCCTTGTAACAGTTTACTGTCTTGTTTTGCTTTTCAGCTCTTACAAGCTTGAAGAAAGGATACCTGTTCATGTATAATCTTGTGCAGTTCTTGGGATTCTCCTGGATCTTTGTCAACATGACTGTGAGGTTCTTTATTTTGGGAAAAGGCAAGCACAAAATTTCAACATTAGTTTTCTGTTTTCAGTAGTTTGACCTACTACTCACCAAAGGTACTAATAATACCCTGCCTCTGGTGTTAATAATAACCCCCCATGTTTGTGTGGCACACATGCCTTCCATTCTACTTTCATGTCTCTTATTTCCCTTGACCTTGTGAAACAAGCAGACTGGAGATTGTGTGCACTTAACATGTGCACAAACAGGCTTAGAAATGGTCCCCATTTGGGGCGCCTGGGTGGCGCAGTCGGTTAAGCGTCCGACTTCAACCAGGTCACGATCTCGCGGTCCGGGAGTTCGAGCCCCACGTCAGGCTCTGGGCTGATGGCTGATGGCTCAGAGCCTGGAGCCTGTTTCTGATTCTGTGTCTCCCTCTCTCTCTCTGCCCCTCCCCCGTTCATGCTCTGTCTCTGTCCCAAAAATAAATAAACGTTGAAAAAAAAAATAAAAAAAAAAAAAAAAAAAAGAAATGGTCCCCATTCACACAGCTGGCCGGAGGCACATCTTGGGCTAGCATTCCTTTCTCTGTTCACTATATGACAGTTCATTTATAACCAAATAGACTTATGTGGTAATTTCAGTGACAAAGTTATGCAAGTCCTATTCTAAAATTGAATGAAAGGACTATCATAAAGATGTTAGTTCTTGATGAATTAATTTATATGTTTAACAGAATTCTGGCAAAAGTAAAGACAATGGAAAGTTTTTGAGAATGTGATCTAAAGTATTCTACAATTATATTATGAACAATAAATAGGTAATAAAATTTGGAGGAAGAAAGGATAATGGGAGAGTACTTTCTCTGCCTGACAGGAGAGAATAATTAACATAGCAATTATTAAAAAAATAGAATGATCAGTAGAGCAGATTAGGTGGTCCAGAAATAGCTCTTACATTATAATATATGTATGTATGTATATGTACACACACATACACACATATATATAAATTATATAAATATTATAAAAAAGAAATAATGAATCAATGGAAGGGGAAATATTACCCAATACTTTTTTACTGGATGGGAATTCTAATAATATTTCCAGGGACAATTGGTTAGGTTTGGATACATGAGGCAGGCAAGGAATCTCTTTGACTCTTTTCCTTACATTGTATACAAAAATAAATTCCCCCGAAGGATTTAAGAGTCATGTATCAAAATTTTAAAACATAACAGAAGATGTAAGTTAATGTTCATAACCGTCTCATGTGGAAGGTTAGTACTTTCCAAGGTTAAAAGTGTTAGCGGAAATCATGAAGAATAAGGTCAATATATTTGACTAAGTAAAATACCTAAATTCCTGTGTATCTAAAAATACCCCAGCTAAAACAACACTAAAGATTAAAAGCCTATTGAGGCTAGTAGCATGGGGATGAAGGGTTGGTGGAAAATTGCAACAAATACCTGCAAGGGTTGATTACCTATAAAGAGTATGTTACAAATTGATCCAAAAATGTGACAACTTCATCCAATAGATAAATAAACAGAAGTCATGTGCAGGCAGTTCATAAAAGGAAGTAAAGCCAATTTAATGTACAGAAAATGTTTAACTCAATAATGATGAAGGAAATAAAAATAAGATTTTTATCAGTTTTTCAAAGTTAAAAAAGATACCTAATTCAAGAGGACATTTGCTAAAATACACAGTAGTGGCTACTGGGAGGGTACATAAATATGACTCTCTTGGAAAATCATTCGGCAAAGCACATCAGGAACCTTAACTGTTCATATCCTTAACCCTGGTTATTTCACTTCTCGGAATATGTTCTAAAGAAGTCATTGAAACTACAAAAACAGCTTTTTCAAAAAGATCTACATTATGGCATTACTTTTATTAGTGACAAGTTAGAAACTACCTAGATGTCCATCAACGAGGGATTACTTTAGAATACTTACTCAGTGGAATGATGCGAAGCAGATATAAAATATTCAAGGAGTTTGTAGTGACATGGAGAAATATGATAGGCTAAGAAAGTAGTATATAAAGTTGTTCTTCCAGCTTCATCACATCTGCATAAAAAGCGGAAACAACTGAGCCAATACATGCAAAAAGATCGGAAGGAAATGCACCATTTCAGATGGTTTGGATGTGGATAACTTAGACATTTTCCCTTATTTTATAAAATAAAAATGAGGAAAAATATAAGTATGATGGAATATATAAACTCTGTTTTAAAAGAGGAATAAAAAATCCTGTAGTCTGTTTAATTTTCAGTCCTAAATTTTCCAATCTGAGGTTGGTAGTACGTGAACTGCAGTTAGCTCAAGAGTCATTTGAAAGAAGCGCATGTTGTTTTCCCAGCCTTCTCAACACCTTAGAATTCTGCAAAGCACAGTGGCAGGAAAAACTTCCCAGCTGCCTAGTGTCTTACAGCCCCAAGTGATCAGAGGTCTACAGATGAGTTACTTAAAAAAAAGAAGGCAAGTCTCAGACCTGTAGTTTTTATTTCTCTGGGTTTATCACAAGGTCCATGGAATGAACAGGGACATGCAAATACATAAATAATTTAACATAATTAGATGGATTCTCCACGTTCCCGTGCAAGCCTGCTGGCCATCAAGTGATCTAGTCCAGAAGCTCCTAAGTTATTTGGGTCATGTGTTTAAGCTGCTTGGATTTGTAATTTGGCGCTCAACCCCTTCCTAACCCCCTTCTGGAATGGAGCTGCTGGTTTAATTCTTCCCTTATCAGTCCTCAAAAACGTAGTAAGGACTTGGGGCCTGGCACTCAATTTGCCCTTAACACTTTTCTCCTTTTGAACAAAGGGTGTTGGGAAATAGCAAATACCACACATATACGTAAGCACGTATTTCCCAAACTTCTTATGCTAAGGAAACAGAAGCAAATTCTTGGGCTTATGTAGAAACCCTTGTTTGAGCTTATCTAGCTCCCTGTTAAGGAATGCTTTTTTTTTTTTTTTTTAATGTTTATTCATTTTTGTGAGAGAGAGAGAGGAAGACACAGAATCCAAAGCAGGCTCCAGGCTGTGAGCTGTCAGCACAGAACCCGACACGGGGCTTGAACCCACAAATGGCAAGATCGTGACCTGAGCCAAAGTCAGATGCTTAACTGACTGAGCCACCCAGGCACCTCAAAGGAATACTTTTTTTCTTAGTAAAATTAATTTTTTTCTAGCTATAAAAAGGTGTTCTAGAAAAATCAGAAAATAAAGACTTAAGACATTCTCCTATAATCCCATCTATGACAGCAACAGATTCTTGGCATCCTGATGTATATTTTTCCAACCCACAAAATTTCCTTAGGAGCAATTCCTGATATGGAATTGCAAGATTAATGGCAAATTGTTTTTAAGGATTTTCACGTATACTGTGCAGATAGAGTATACTATATTATACTACCATTATTTAAATCTGTATCTCATTAACAGATGAGTGCCTTTTGCTACTTAAAACAATTTTTTTTTTCAAATCATCAAAGTAAGTGTGCTCATTGAAGCAACTTTGGAAGGTGAGGGAAACCAGGTGGAGGTGTGGGGGAAAAGAAAGGAAGGTGAATAAGCCATTGTCCATCACTTTAATATATCCATACATTTCCTTTTAGTTGTTGTTCTCCTACAGTTAAAAATTTTAGGGCACCTGGGTGGCTCAGTCCGTTGGTTGGGCTGCCAACACTTAATTGTGGCTCAGGTCATGATCTCCCAGTTTGTGGGATCAAGTCCTGTGTCAGGCTCCTTGCTGACAGCGCAGAGCCTGCTTGGGATTCTTTCTCTGCCCCTCCTCCACTCACGCGTGTCCACATGCACACACTCTCTTTCTCAAAATAAATAAACTTTATTTTTATTTATTTTTTTTTTAAATTTTTTTTCAACGTTTATTTATTTTTGGGACAGAGAGAGACAGAGCATGAATGGGGGAGGGGCAGAGAGAGAGGGAGACACAGAATCGGAAACAGGCTCCAGGCTCTGAGCCATCAGCCCAGAGCCTGACGCGGGGCTCGAACTCACGGACCGCGAGATCGTGACCTGGTTGAAGTCGGACGCTTAACCGACTGCGCCACCCAGGCGCCCCAAAATAAATAAACTTTAAAAAGTTATAATCATACTGTGTACACAAATTTCTGTCTTGTTTTAAAAATAAAATTATAAATGGGGCGCCGGGGTGGCTCAGCTAGTTAAGCGTCTGACTTCAGCTCAGGTCATGATCTCACCGTCTGTGGGTTCAAGCTCTGCATCAGGCTCTGTGCTGACAGCTCAGAGCCTGGAGCCTGCTTCAGATTGTGTCTCCCTCTCTCTCTGCCCCTCCCCCGCTTGCTCTCTGTCTCAAAAATAAGTAAAACATTAAAAAAATTTTTTAAATAAAAAATTAGAACCATTTTAATGTTATTAATATTCTTTGTAACTATCATTTTAGAAGCCAGATTTCTAGTCCTGAATTGAAACAGGGATGAATTTCCTATAAAATCAGAGCAAAGCCACAAGATGTGATTTTTGTTCACCATATGCCAAATCTTTTTTAAAAAAATTTTTTTTAATGCTTATTTATTTTTTTTTCTTTTTTTTTTTTTAACGTTTATTTATTTTTGAGACAGAGACAGAGCATGAATGGGGGAGGGTCAGAGAGAGAGGGAGACACAGAATCGGAAGCAGGCTCCAGGCTCTGGGCCATCATCAGCCCAGAGCCCGACGCGGGGCTCGAGCTCACAGACCGTGAGATCGTGACCTGAGCTGAAGTCGGACGCCTAACCGACTGAGCCACCCAGGCGCCCCATAATGCTTATTTATTTTTGAGAGAGAGAGACAGAGCACGAGTGGGGGGTGGGGTGGAGAGAGGGAGACACACAATCCAAAGCAGGCTCCAGGCTCCAAACTGTCAGCACAGAGCTTGATGTGGGGCTTGAACCCACAGATGGTGAGATCATGACCTGAGCCAAAGCCTGATACAGGCAACCCCACCATATATACCAAATCTTAAGTCACAGCTTTCTGTTTCAACATGGGAGGTTCTCATGGTTCAAAGATTTGTCCAGGAGAAATGCCACCTTAAAGGGAATTCCCTTTAAATGGACACCCGAATTTCACTGTGATTTGATTGGGATTTTGTCTTGGAAACAGGGAGATTTAAAATTAGAATAAAATTTTTATCTTATATATAGCAAAATTCACATTGTAATTTTGCATTAATTCTTCAAAGAAAAGAATCAGTCAAATTTTGAACCAAATTACTAGTGGAATTTTTCTGGCAAAATTACGTAATAACACTGTATATACCATTCTTCATTTCACATTTGACTTTGTAGTAGGATTGTAAAGTGGATCATTTTTGCAAAAATAGTAGATGGTTTAAGTTTTTGGAAGGGCCTCTTTTATTTAAGTAATATTTAAACCATATTCTTTCGAGGATCCTACAAGGGTCATCTTTGTTTGGCACCTGGCCTACCTGTGCCAGATCCTTGGAGGCGCTACTTGTATTTAATAGGCAGGAAGCCATGGGGCGCCTGAGGGGCTCGGTCAGTTTAGCTTCTGAGTTCGGCTCAGGTCATGATCTCACAGCTTGTGGGTTTGCATCGGGCTCTGTGCTGACAGCTCAGAGCCTGGAGCCTGCTTCAGATTCTGTGTCTCTCTCCCTTTCTGCCCCTCCCCTGCTTGCACTCTGTCTCTAAACAAACAAACAAACAAACAAACAAACAAACATAAAATTTGTTTTTTAAAAGATAGGCAGGGAGCCAAAAATCCTAATAAACTCCTAAGGCCAAAGAATTGTCCTGCCCAAATTGTCAGCAGTACCCTGGTTGAGTAGCACGCAAAGAGGAATGTGGGGAGGCAGGAGGTCAAGTGAGGATCAATATGAAAAGTAAAGGATTTTATATTATGGTCCACTCAGAACTGATACCACATTGGCTGATGTCATATAGGCAATAACTGTCACTTTAAATATTACATACTATTCCATGAAGTAGATAAACTGTAGTTTACTCAAACTTTCCATACGCTTAGGCATTTAGACTCTTTACACTTTAATGCACTTAGAATTGTTTCAGAGAGCAGCCTTATTCCTAAAAAGCTTTTGGTTTTTTTCATTTTAGATTTTTTAGTTAGGATAGATTCTTAGAGTAAGAATTATAGGGACGAAATAGACATAAATAAGGTTTTTGAAAGTTAATTTTATTTAGTATTTTTACACATCTGCGTTTGTTTATGATTGCACACTTTTGAGGTTTTTAAGAGGCTACATTGCATTCAATATATGTGACATAATTTTAGCTTTATTATTTAAAAAAAAATTTTTTTTTTCAACATTTATTTTTGGGACAGAGAGAGACAGAGCATGAACGGGGGAGGGGCAGAGAGAGAGGGAGACACAGAATCGGAAACAGGCTCCAGGCTCCGAGCCATCAGCCCAGAGCCTGACGCGAGGCTCGAACTCACGGACCGCGAGATCATGACCTGGTTGAAGTCGGACGCTTAACCGACTGCGCCACCCAGGCGCCCCCATAATTTTAGCTTTAAATTCAATGTGATAATGGATCTGAAAAGACTTAGCCACTGTTCCTGATACATAGACTTTTCAGCTTATAATAACTGAATGAAGTATAGGTATACTTTTTTTCTTGCCTTTTAAAATGAGAAGGACATACAGGGTTTATGTGTTTTAACTCTCTGCTAACCAGTAGAGTTTACGATTTATGACTCCACAGGCCTGTTCCCCACCAGCTTTGTTTGGATACTAAGCTCGAATCTGAGGGGCTGTTTATTTTACTTTTCCTTAAATTCCTTTCTTGTAAGGAGGTATCTAGTTTGAGAAATAATTCTGTTGGAATTTGCCATTTGATTTACCCTTAATGTATATTTGTCCCATAGAGTCCTTCTATGACACGTTCCACACCTTGGCCGACATGATGTATTTCTGCCAGATGCTGTCAGTTGTGGAAACTATCAATGCAGCAATTGGAGTCATTAAGTCACCAGTGATACCTTGTCTTATCCAGGTATTGAGTAATTGACTTCTAGGGTGGGGAATGAAAGATTTCAGAATTTAGTAGGTACACCACAATTTGCTGAGAAGTCTCAGTTAGTAAAAATCTCTTTACACAGGAATAGCATTGTTTTTATCTGAAAAAAGAGGAAAACTGTAAGCCACAGGGATAATTTCCAAAGTAGACTTTTGCCATTTCAGATCTGTTTTTTTTTTTGCTTGTTTATAATATCTTTATGAAATTACAAAGTGATAAAAAGGGCTTTAAAACTAGCAAAACTTGACTTTCAAGCAGGAGCAGAAAGACCTCACCCACAGTCTTCTCAGGTAGAGACATGCTTAGTCTCCTCCCATCTTGGGTAGGTGAAGGCAGTGTGATCCTAGGAGATCTTTTCACTTTGGACTTTCTTCCATATATGAAGGTAACATTTTTGATTTGTGTGGGGATTCTCCCCCTCACCATACATCTGTGTTATTTCCTAACATTTGGAAGATTGCTATCAGGAATAGGAGTCTTTTAATTTCCTTGCCCTATTACCTACCTATGTGATTGTATACTATCAAATATAGTATTTGACCTGGAGTCAGGGGGAACCAGGTGATGGTTGGTTAGTCTCTTCCAGAGTACTGTTGTTTGTTTTTCTGTTTTTTTTTTAATTTTTTTATTTTTTATCCATTTTTGAGAGAGACAGAGCAAGAGAGAGGGAGAGGCAGGGAGAGAGAGAGAGACAGAATCCAAAGCAGGCTCCAGGCTCTGAGTTGTCAGCACAGAGCCCGACACAGGGCTCGAACTCACAAACCTCGAGATCATGACCTGAGCAAACTTGACCACTTAACCAACAGAGCCACCCAGGCATCCCTGGAGTACTGTTTTTATAGTTCTATTCTTTTATGGTACACCTGCTCCGGCATTCTGATAGTATCCATTGCATGGTAAAGTGTGTTAATGCAGTGGACTTATTTCTAGGTTTTCTGTTCTTAGAGAGAGGCTGTTTTGTTCAGTCTAAAAAATAAAAGAGGATACAAAGTGACCCACTAATATGGAATAATATTTTTTGTACATCAAGGACTACTGCGATAAGAATGAGGATAGCATTTCTAGGGCAAGATGGAAGGGACAGATTGAGTTATTGTCATAACGCATGGCCCCAGGGAGTGCCAGTCACATAGAATGCAGTGTGAGTAAAACCTCCTGGAGTCGGACAGTGCCATGCACACTAGCACGGACGAATCTCGGAAACAAAACATGGAGTAAGAAGTCACAGAATAATACATTCTGTTTCTTAAAGTTTAAAAACAGGCAAAGTGAAACGGTGTACTGTTTAGAAATATGTACATAACTAGTAAACCTCTAGAGAGACAAGATAGTATTTACTTATGAGGGGCTGCCACACTGGTGATGTTCTAAAAAATTTTTTTTCTTTAATGTTTATTATTTGAGAAGAGACAGAGAGCAAGCAGGGGAGGGGCAGAGAGAGAGGGAGACACAGAATCGGAAGCAGGCTCCAAGCTCCGAGCTGCCAGCACAGAGCCCGACATGGGGCTCGAACCCACAGACCGCAAGATCATGACCTGAAGTGAAGTCGGCCGCCTAACCGACTGAGCCACCCAGGCGCCCCCACAATGGTGATGTTCTTGTTCTTGGGTTACGCAGACACGGATGTCCATTTGGCAGTAGTCTTTAAACCGTGTTTGAACTATTCATAATGATATGTATTTACACACATGCACACAGTCTATTCAGAAAGACTGATTTGGATACTTAACTTGTTCCAAAGCTGGAACAGAGAATTGAACTACCTGAGCTCAGTCTTTTCCTGGAGGAAAAGAGCCCCTGAATTTAGTGGGGCTCGGTTTTGGATGACACTTTTACATAGTTTTTGTAGAATATATTTTTAAACTTTTTTTCTCTCTTCTGGGTTCTTTTAATAGCTTCTTGGAAGAAATTTCATTTTGTTTATCATCTTTGGCACCATGGAAGAAATGCAAAACAAAGCTGTGGTTTTCTTTGTGTTTTATACATGGAGCGCAGTTGAAATCTTCAGGTGGGTAGAAATGCCAGCATGGTTGTTTGAATGCTTCTCCTTTCTCTGGAACAGCTCTCTTCTGGAGGGAGTTGTTTTATTCCGAGTCTCATTTGGTTTGAAATTAAGGTTCTACATATGTGGAGAGTTCTAGCTGAATCTGTGAGCTCTGCAAAGGAGACACACAGTGTTTTTTTTTTTAAAGCAATCATAATACCAGTGTAGGCACTGGAGAACAGAGGGAGGAGAGATCTGGAGAAATGAAAGACCTGTGTTACCCTTCTTGCTGTCTTGTTGGAAAGAGAGGACTCATCCACATGGAAATATTTTTGAAAAAGCTGAAGAAACACGGGGTTGAAGGAGTAGTCAGGCTGGATGGAAACAGTGAATACCAGCCTTCTAGAAGGAATGATAGAAATCTTTTACTACAAGATTACTGAAATTTGAATCAGCCTTATATGATTCTTCCATTCTCAATTGTCACAGAAAAAAATATCTTTAAAAAATATATCCATTAATAGTAGAGGTGTTCTTATCTACCAGACCATACATATTCCATTTCTTTTTCAGTCAGGTGGAGAAAGGATTTTGCACATTGACTCCTGAGCTCTAGTATTTTGCAAACTTAATAGTTGAGAGGGAGAAGTAGTTAGCAATCCTAGATTTATCTTAACAGTGGTCTGGTCCCATAGTATCCCGTATACCCTCTTAAATCTGCTAATACAAACGTGAAAGAGATTATAGGTACTTAATATTAACTGTTAAAAATTCTTTTCTCTCTTATCAAAAAAAATTTTTTTTAATGCTTATTTTTTGAGAGAGACAGAGTGCAAGCTGGGGAGGGGCAGAGAGAGAGGGAGACACGGAACCTGAAGCAGGCTCCAGACTCTTAGCTGCCAGCAGAGAGTCTGATGCGGGGCTCAAACTCACGAACCATGAGATCATGACCCAAGTTGAAGTCGGCTGCTTAACTGGCTGAGCCACCCAGGTGCCCCTTGTGTTTTAAATAGAGTGTCTGATTCTAGATTAGGGGTCTTTTGTATACTGAAATTTTGATGACATTCGTTGATCCAGGGATAAATTGTCACAGTGTTTGTCATCTTTACCTCTTGGAACTTAGAACTAGGAATGAAGCCAAAGAGCTTCTGAGCATTCATTCCATATACTGAACTATTCCAAAGAAGGTTGTCTTAGGACCTAAACTTAGTCTGCCATCAGAGTTCACATCCACTGAAAATTGGAGGAGGGGTGTGATGGGAGTTTGTGGGTAGAGAGCCCAGGATTAGAATTCTGTTCTGAAGAAGCCATGTGTGGCTAATTGTGAAATGATTCTTCTTGAATGATGTTCTAGGTTGCATTCAGGACCTGAAGTGGCTTTTCACATCTGAATTCCTTATTTTCAATAGGTACCCCTTCTACATGCTTTCCTGCATTGACATGGATTGGAAGGTGCTCACATGGCTTCGTTACACTGTGTGGATACCCTTGTATCCTCTGGGATGTTTGGCAGAAGGTACTTTCAAGAACACTAGGTTTTATAAGCTTAGTTCTAAAGATAGCTAAACTTTCTTCCTGTGCCAGCCTTAGTCTGATATATGGGTGTTAGACTTTTTTTTTTTTTCAACGTTTATTTATTTTTGGGACAGAGAGAGACAGAGCATGAACGGGGGAGGGGCAGACAGAGAGGGAGACACAGAATCAGAAACAGGCTCCAGGCTCTGAGCCGTCAGCCCAGAGCCCGACGCGGGGCTCGAACTCACAGACCGCGAGATCGTGACCTGGCTGAAGTCGGACACTTAACCAACTGCGCCACCCAGGCGCCCCAATGGGTGTTAGACTTTTTAAGAATTTCTTTCTCGTGGCTTCCTTCCATAGTACTCATGGTACCCAGACTGTTTCAGGGAAGTAGCTCGTTTTTGTAAAGTTTGGAAGCTCATGTATTTGTAAAGTTTGGAAGTTCATGTATTGTATGCTTCCTATTTATACGGTATTTAAAATTTTCCAAAGCAGGTTCTTAGCGACAACTTCATTTTATCCAACACACACCTAGTGGGTGGGTCAAGTAGGGCTTTTTCTCTCCATTTTAGAGAAGACTGAGTCTCAGTGCTATCAAAATGACTGTTCTTCATTCATCTTCCTTTTGTCAGCGTGGAGGGTTATCACATGAAAACTAGGGCGGTGGGGAATGGAAGAGGCACGAGCCCTCTGTATTAAGGAGGCTAGATGGGACTGTATTTCATTTGTTTCTGACAAGTTATTTCTGCTCTCAGCTGTCTCAGTGATCCAGTCCATTCCAGTATTCAATGAAACAGGAAGATTCAGTTTCACATTGCCATATCCAGTGAAAATCAAAGTTAGATTTTCCTTTTTTCTTCAGATTTATCTCATAATATTATTTTTAGGTAAGTATTGGCTCTGTAATAGACTTTTTCCAGTCACTTCTTAGAGAGTAGAATTAAATGATTCAAAGTTTTCCAAGTCCTTATTAGGGATTTTCTTTCTAGAAGAGTAGTGTAGAGTTAGAAAAACATTACTTGTATAAAACGGACCCACAAGAATATGCTACGTGTATCTTCCAAATCTCCAGTGGTTATCTTCTTGGTCATTGGGAGTTCACCATATTTCATGTTTAAAACAATGTAAGAAACTCTTTTAAGAAGGTCATTTTAATAATTTCACTGACACATTCCTTATCTCGAGTTCACAGAGGTGGTAATACCACTGGCAGCAAGGAAGAAGGCAGTAAAGGCTTCTGAGCAGCCAAGAGATGTCATAAAGCCTTCTACTTAACAATAGGAAAGCTCCCTTAGCCCCCACCCTGTTCCTTATGTAAAACCTGCCTATATGTTAATTTACTTTTATATAAAATCATAAATTCTTGCCTTAATTCATAAAAACTAAGAATTAAAAGAAGCAAACCTAATTATTGAAAATATGAGAAATTTAAAAGTCTTCCTAACTGTAAGGACTGTTTACTTTAGATAAAGTTCTAATGCATTTTAATCTATATATTTGTTTTAGTTCTCAAAAATCTTAAGGTGGCCCTAAATAAGTATGGCTGTCTGCTCTTCTAGCAACAGGATATGAGAGCGGATACTATGTTAGTTATCTATTGCTGTGTAACCAATTACCCCAAAACTCAGTTGCTTAAGACAGCAAACGTTTGTTATCTCTCAATGTTTCTGAGGGTCAGAAAGCAGTCTAGCTGGGTGGCTCAGGGTCCCTCCTGAGGGTTCAGTCAGTCTGTCAGCCCAGTGGGGACTGCAGTTTCTGCAGACTTGACTGGGGCTGGAGGATCTGCTCCAAGCTCACACATGTAGCTGTAGACAGGAGGCTTCAGTTTCTTGCCACAGTACATCTCCATGTGGCTGCTCGTGACATGGCTTTCCCCCAGAACAAGTGGTCTGAGAGGCAGAAGCCACATTCTTTTTTGTTTTTAAATTTTATCTATTTTTTATTGAAATATATTTGACATATAACATTGCGTAAAGTTAAGTAAGGTATACACCATGTTGATTTGACTCATTTGTATCAGAAGTGACATACCATCACTTCTGCCATATTCTGTTGGCTACACAGACCAACCTAGTAGAGGACAGGAGGGGATACACAAGGGTATGAGATCCCAGAAGGTAGGATCACTGGGGACCATCGTGGTGGCTACCCCAGTGAGAGGAAGACCACAAAAAGTAAACCCGAGAGCCCCAAAAGCTCAGTGGTCTTGATCAGTTAGTACTGATCACATACCCTTTAGGAGGGCCTCCAGGTATCAGCACGTGGCAGAAGCACAGTATGGGTGTAGATCATTTGCCAAAGGTTAAATTTTATGCAGTTTCTCCTTTCCTATTTCAGAGAGGGTATCATTTATTTTAGAAAGATTTCTAACCAGAAATGTTAAAATGTTTGGCCCTTGAAGGGAGTAAGCTTCAATTTGGAAGATGCACTCATTAAAAAAATTCTTTATCCCTATTACTGGATAAATAAATCTGGTTTACTGCAACTAGGCTCCATGAGGCATGATACTGAAAATGTTAAAAGAGGAAGAAGTATTGGAAAGACCCTTAAAATACTTTACTAGAAAAGTTAGAAGAGTAGAAGTATTTTAATGTGCATTAACTTTAGTGGCTTTTCTTCAGGTTATATTGTTATACACTCTAATTTATGAGGTTTTATACTCCTATTTAGTTTGCTTGCAATGAATAATGTGGTTCTTATCTGTCAGAATGAAATCTCAAATTTGCATAATTTAGAAGCAGTACTACAGTTACATTTGCATATAGATCAAGGTGCTTTTCCAAATACACATGCTTAGTAATCCTGTAAAATAGGTGTTTTTAACCTTGTACAACGAGGAAACTGAGGTGAGGCTAAGCCATAGAACTAGTTAGTAGTCAAGTAGGATTAGAAAGTTTTTTCTGACTCTGAAATCCTGCGTTTTCGAATTTCCTTCCTAGAAAAGCATTTCATACCTTTTAGACTAGTGCTTAATACACATTATTATATTAAAAATTGAACTAAAAATAGGGTTGTTTTTATACTTAAGGTTTGTATATTTAATTTTGTGTAAATCTTACCTTAAAAGGAAGAAAAAAAGAAAACTGAACTCTAATTAATGGAATGTTTCGGGGTGAAGTATACTGATGTGTGCTACTTGCAGTGAAATACATCAAAGATGAGGTGGGAGTGGGCATGTGCTCAGACGAATATAATAAAAACTTAAAGTTTAAATCTAGGTGGTGTTCACTGTACAGTATTTTAATCTTGCAGCATGTTTGAAAATTTTCATATTAGAATATGGGAGGGAAGTTAAATTATAAACCCTCTGGGGAAAAAATGAAGGGTCTCCAGTGCATTGATAATAACTTGGTTCAAAGCTGTAATTTCTGAGCACCTACAGTGAGCACAGTGCTGGTGGATAGGACAGGCAGACATCTAGAGACTGTCCTTGCCCCAAGAGCTTCTGGTTATAAATACAGACCAAGATTCCCTTTTCTCACTGGCTTCTTTTCTTTTTCAGGGTTGTACATAAATTTTCGTCACCTTTATAAACAGCGCAGGCGGCGCTATGGACAAAAAAAGAAAAAGGTCCACTGAAAACAAAGATTGAGAGGATTCCTTGCCAGTTTGAGCCTAATCTATAATTCTTACAGTTTTACCTTCTTGTACTGATGTAAAAGTTTTTTTAAAGTTAAATGATTAAATTCTCAGTGAAGCTATCTTCCCTTTTCCCCCATAACATTCCTGAATTTACCGAACTATCTTAGTGTAGTACTTGCATGACATGGGTTCCTGGTATCTGAGGACAGGTTTGTTCTTGTGTGTTCCATTAATGACCGCAAAAGACTCAGCCCTACCCCCACACACTCCTTGTCCTGTCACTCTCACACGGGCCAGAGATATTTCTTCAGTGCCCTAACCCTACCAGGTACTGGCCATTCTTATAGCTGGGAATTGTTTTTTTCAGCTGTTGCTTGCAAGAAAAAAAACCACTGTTGCCTCTACAGGGGGCTGTGAAAGTGACTCAGGCAGGACCTTGGATACATTCTGTATCCAAGGAGTTGCTTGTTAAGTGGGGTGGCATTGATTTTTGGAAAATCAAGTTGAACTCAGTCATTGATAAAACATTTCTGAGTCTGAGTGGAGCTACAGAACACCTATTACCTCTGAATCTTTTGGCCTCTAACACCACCTGCTACGTGCTTACCTGTGTGTGCACGGGAGAGGCATGGAATGATTTGGGAGAAACCGGTCAGAACCTTGGAACACCATGATCACTTACTTCATTCCTGGCTAAATCAGAACTATTTTCAACACTAGAGAAAGATGAAACATTAGTTAGAAAACAATGAGATTATAAGAGTTCCAAACCCAAATGGCTACAGGGTGTCAGAGGGTGAAACTGGCAGTAAGACAGCAGCTGGCAGTGCAGCCTGTGGCAACCTGGGAGCAGACAAAACAGACCTACAAAATGGCCTCAGGCTGTGCACATACATAAAAAACCTTGCTATCATCCTCTGCACTGGCTGAGTCCATTTACTTGTGTACCTGTCAGAGTGACTGGTAGAACTGACCTCAAAAACACCTGCTTTCTTTGGTTTCACCTGTCTGCCGTCAGACGGTAAAAACAGAGTGAGAACTTTGGCTGGAGAAGCTTAACAAAGCTTCCTGGCAGGAAACCCACCAACAGAGGAACTGAGGAAAATCCAGACGTTGTAAAGTTTGGTCATTGTCAAAAACATTGTTTCCTCTAATACATTCCAAGTTAACCAAGTAAAATATGTTAGAAGTAATGCTTGTATTAAAGAATTTAAGAGCATGATAGCTCTTTCTGTTCTGCCATTCCTACTGTTCTTGGGAAAGGGGGACTCAGTGAGTTATGCTGTTTCTCTGAGTCCAATATGGAAACTTGGTTTGACCTAAAAACATCTGATTAGCATAGGCTGGCTGATTTTTATTTTTATAAGTTCACTGCACTGAAGGGTATTTTGCATGTCTGTAACTTCTGTCAACACTTGTTTGTGTTAACTTCCGTTGTTCTTTCAATTGACTTTCTATGTTTATTTGGACAGATCAGCTTTGCAGTATATGCTGCATCTTTGTGGCAGAATCCTGTATTCTTAGTGATTGTTAAAACTCCTTTATTGCTGTCTGAGAAAGCAAAAGATTGTGTATTTCTATTAAACATTTACAATCAAAATCCTAATAACTTGTGTTTAAAGATCATTTAGTCTGATAGGTTTTCAAGTTGTTAATGATAACATTGTCCTTTGTTCAGGGAAAACATTATATAGCATGTTAAAATGGTTGCTCGGGTTAAAGCCCGAGGGAGGGAGTAATACCTTAGGAAGTCCACAGAACAATTTGAAAAGTATCGATGACATAAACAAAGCTTAGTGAAGTTATGTGACTTGCCTAATATCATGAAGCTAGCTAATGAAAAGGTACTGTAACTGACCACAGTGATCCGTCAGAATCCACGGGTGGAACCTGGCTTAGGCAGAGACCTAACCAATGTCAGAAACAAGGAAGTCCATATGGAACCCAAGGAACTCTGGGGACTTATGAACCTGTGCTGCTTAGGAAGCCGAAATTATACACAGGTGATAGGACAGACCAAAAGGCAAAGACCCATTAGCTTCCCAGTGAATCCATTTCATAGAAAACCAAGTATTTTATTTTCATTAAAAAAAAAAAACAAAAAAACAACTTGAAGGAACAGGAATCATTTTATACATTTATGGTTGCTGTTTAAAAGTCTGTATCTCAAGACATACCAAAAGCACCAAAGGGTTACCACCAAGTTTTTGCCCAAGTTCTAAGGAAAGTTCTGAAGCTTAATTAGGTGTTGGGCTTGTATTTAGCAAGCCCCAGACAGTCTGGGCTACTCATTCTAAGGACAGGAGCGTGAAAGTGTCCTTATGGTTGAGAGAGAAGAGGAAAAAGGTGCCTTTCAGGAAGCTGGAGAGCCCTTGCTGGTTAGATTTCCTGAGGAAGTGGGAGAGAGCTCTGTGCTCAACAGTCCTTTAAGTTTCTGAGATGTGCCTATTGCGGGAGCAACAGCGTTTTTTTGGGCTTAAAGACTCAGCCCCCAAAAGCTAAAGTCAAAGCCCAAACTGGCAACCACTCTTCGGAACCTCCCTCAGACTCTAGCAGAGTCACTGAAACCAGCAAGCGGTGCTTCTGAGACAGCCTCGGAGTTCTTCGGGTGGCTCCTGCAGAGGTGAACAAACTAAAAAGTTTTTACCCTAAATCATTTTCACCTGGAATGACAAAAGAAGGCAGGCTCCCAAAGTCAGCTTTACATTCTTTCGGTGCTGCTTCCGGAGAAGTCTGTGTGCAAAGGTGTGATGTTGTGCTCATACCCAGCATACTCGGAGGTGCCGGTACTGGCGAGCTTGAGTTGCTGGGCAGCATGGGTCAACTGGAATGCAGCGTCTGGGTGCGCTGTGTCGGGCAGCAGTGTGCACTCCCTTTCCAGCATGTCAGCCACCCCTTTGAGCAGGTCCAGGAAACCAAATGCCAGGGCGGCCTTTCGTAAACGGTTTAGCTCCTGAAACAAGATTAAAAAGAAAACAAAAACAAAAAAACCAATGTTCCTGAAATGCATTTTCCTTATCACGTACTTTCTAAATGCTCAGCTTAGAATAAGTTTTCCTTGATCTCCGAACTTAAGTGAGCATTTTTATAGGAGAACAAATGCTCATACAGAGATGCCAATAACAAGAGAATGTGATGACACGACCAGGTCCTCTACAGGCAATCAGAAAGCTGGCAGACTGAGCGCTTACACCAAACATGAAGAGACCCTTGTCACACACCATTCACTTGTAACTCTCAGGAGGATTACCTTTCCCCTGTTACTCAGGTATGGAAAAGGCATGCCTCAAACCTCAGAGGGCTCTGAACCCTCTGGTACCTCCTCTCTGGATGGGCCTCAGGCCAAACAACAACACGCCTGGAGGAGGCTCTGGAGGATTCAAGAAGTCTGACTTGAGAGACTGCCATAAAAAGAAGGGCCGGGCAGTGGATGGAAGCAAGAGAAATACAAAGTGCCTCTAAAACCACTTAGCAGTGCAATCTAGGCAAGCTGTGTAGCCTCTCCAGGTCTCAGTGGTCTCATTTATAAAACAAGAAGGATGACCTCGTCCTTGCCCACAGGAGGGGCTGACTCTTGCCCAACAAAAAGAGGCCCTTCCACATCTGGTATGTGGGATTATATAAAACCAGAAAAGAAGTGGGCTTTCTGACCACCTCTCTACTATCATCTGTGAACGGGTGAAAAGTTCAGAAGAAGGCGAAAGTAAAGCGTGCCATCTGGATAGACGGCCGACAATCGTGTGTAGGGGAGAAAGGGACTATAGCCAAATAGTGGTCATCAAGGGCCTGTGTGAGCTCAGCTTCATGGGGAGGGAGGGCATGGTGGACTGAGCAGCTCTTTGAACTCTGATTAAGGTTGCTCTTCTTTGCCACAATTAGGTTTGAAGACACCAGTGACATGAAGGTAATGAGATAACACCCAGACAGAGTAGCACGTATATTCTCTGGGAAGAGATGCTAGCCTGGGGTACGTTATGCGCACCATAATATATTAGTAGCTAGGCTACAAGTGACAACACGGCATACCTCACACTGCCACTTAATTTATTTCTGGCCAAACACCAGATGGACAGGGGAGAAACAAGGAGTGTACTTAAATTACCCCCTCAACTCCCCTCCTTGTAACTTTATCCCCTCCACCAACTGTTCTGGATTCAGCTAGACAGGATTCCAGAGGGCCGTCCTTTTGCAACTCATAAAAGTGCAATGTTAATAGTCATTCCTGGGAGCAGCTTCTCTGGTACAGTAAGAATGCTTTGGGAGATCACCATCCCAGGAAGTCATCCTGGCTGCCTGGGGTTTGGCTGTATACTCACAGGAGAGTGGTGACAGGGGTTAAGGGCTTTGACCCACAGGTTCCTTCAACTCCTTCCCTCAGCCATTCACAGCAGCACCAATACGGAGGAGCCCTTCTGCACAGAACCAGGCCATTTAAACACATCCACTTCTTAGATTTTGGGTCAGCAGTGGACCTATCATTTCTATTGACTTTATCAAGGAAAAAACTGAGGCATAAGCTAAACATTTCTAATTCCTGTCCATGTTCACTCGGCCACCCCACATTCATAACTACTGTGAACCATTTATTTTTGGCACACATCCCAGGGCCCACCCTTTTCCACTATAATTCTGACAGTCTTACCTTATAGAATGTCTGTGTTTTTTCAGGTAGTTTCCTTGCATTTCTTAAAATCTTCTGTACGTCTGTCTGTCAAGGGTAAAAAGATTTCAACATAAGGATTCTGTGGTAACAGGGGTAAGAATACAAAAGGATATCCCTAAATGTTTAGAGAAATGAATATGGGAACACAGAATCTCTTGTGAGTTAATGTCACTGTTCTGTTCAACATTAGTAAAGCACCTCCCTCCTTCAAAATGTTTGATAATAAATCCCCTTGGTGACAGAAATGAACTTGTCTCACAAAAACAAACCCAGTAAACTCATATATCTATGGCCAGCTGCTTTTTGGCCAGGGCACCAAGACCTGGGGGAAAAGAATAATACTCTCTTCAACAAATAGTGCCAGGACAACTGGATATCCACATGTAAAAGAATGAAGCTGGACCCTTGCTTCACACCATATACAAAAAAATTAACTCAAAATGCTTCAGAGACCTAAATGTAAGAGGAAAAACTACAAAATTCTTGGAAGAAAACACAGGGGTAAACCCTCATGACCTTAGATTGGTAATGATTTCTTAGTTATGACAACTAAGAACAGCACAGCAACAAAAGAAAAAAAATTCTGACAAATATTCACAGGAGCATTATTCACAATAGTCAAAAGGCGCACACAATTCAAATGTTTGTCAACTGAATGAATGGATAAATGTAGCCATCATCAAAAGAAATGAAGTACTGATACATGCTACAAGATATATGAACACTGAAAACATTAAGCTAAGTGAAGGAAGCCAAACACAAAAACCCACACATTATATGAGGCTATTTATATGAAATATCTAGACTAGGCAAATCCATAGAGACAAAAAGCAGATTAGTGGTTGTCACGGGCTGGGGGAAGTCAGGAATGTAGAGTGACTTGCTTAATGGGTACAGGGTTTCCTTTTGGGGTGATGAAAATGTTCTAGAGCTGCACAGTGATGATGGTTATATAACATTATGGTTGTACTAAATGCCACTGAATGGTTTACTTTAAAATGGCTTAAATGATAACTTTTATGTTATGTGTATTTCACAATTAAAAAATTCATCCAAGGGTGCCTGGGTGGCTCAGTTAGGTTAAGTGGTTTTGGCTCAGGTCATGATCTCAGTTTCATGAGTTTGAGCCCCACATCGGGCTCTACACTGACAGCGTGTAGCCTGCTTGGGATTCTCTCTCTCCCACTTTCTTCTCTGCCCCTCCTCTGCCTGCTCTCTCTCTCTCTCTCTCAAAATAAGTAAACTTAAAAAATATATACAACCAGACCAAAACAAAATATAAAAAGTAATTTAAGAAAAAAATCAGCAATCCTCGTGACAGGGGAGTGCTGGGATCAAGGATGGCAGGAAAGAGAGAACCTGATTTTCCAACAAAACCCCTACCCTCTTAGCCACGACAGGACGTGTCCAGTCTCCACGGAGAGGGGGCTAAAAGAAACTGTGCCATCAGCCAAAGCTATTTCCCTTGTCAGGTGGCCTAACCGCCTCTTCTCATTTGGCTTAGGTTGAATTCATTGGAGGAACAAAGAAAAAGAAGATGGTGCTCAAATGAGAAAAAAGGCTCAAAAATGATTTTTAAAAACAGGCAGAAAGGACTATATGTCAGTGGAAGGAGAAGCATCACTGAGTACCTTGCCTGAAAGCAACATACCTTGTGACAGTATCATCTTAGCTTCCCATGAAAGTGTGTTTGTAGAATTAAAGTGTAATGCCATTGCTTGGGTTCTACTGTGGGGACAGAAGAAATAACCCCATAGAGATTTTTATATCTTTCTCAAAACTGTTGTTAAAGATAAAACCCATTATGTCAATGCCTCACTATGTCAAAAATTTTACACTGAAATTCAATGCCAGGAAAATGTATCTCTCTAGAACCGACATGCTTCCTTTTATCAGACCAGAAAAACCATATAATCCTACATGTTGCTTTTTTGACCTTGGTAGCAGGAAGCTCAGAGCCAAATTGCTCAAATTTAATTATCATTTGCCTTGGGTTCCTGGCACAATTGTCTCTCCTCTTCCTCTAGGTTTTTTACTGCTCTAAATTTTCTAAGAAGTGATTTTGCTGCATACGTGTTTTACTGTAGGCCACCTCAATTCTTTTTTGGAAATAATGACAAACATTAGAAGTAAATGAATTACTAAGTATCAAAGGAAAGGAAAATCAAATCAAAGGTCTGCCTGCTTGCCAGAATCCCTCCTCCTGTGCCCAGTGGAAAGCAACTTGAATGGTAGTATTACCTGTAGGCCACTGGGTTTGATCCAGACAGTCACATTCTGGGCATAACTGCGTTTGTTTTTGGGCTGCAGGGGGAATGGGCTCTTATTGTCATCTTCACCATAAGGGTTTTCTTTAGCATCTTAGAAGAAAAAGACATTGTTAAAATGATATCTGGCAAAACATAATCAATTACATTTCCAATTAGGCTAAAAGCTCTTTGAATCATTCAATCTTCTACATCCTGTTACTTCCCTAATTAAGAAAATCTATTAACTTCCCTCAGGTTAGGGAATCTGTTTGTAATAGAAAGCCACTGATGTAGAAGTCTATAGACAATCAACTGAGGCCCATGTAGGTAAAAAAACAAAACAAAACAGCTTAATGTTTTCAAAGAGACAAGCTTCACTTATCTGCTTTATAAATTGAGTTCAGAGAGAGTAACACAAATACATGCAACAATACTGAAGTACGTATTTAAAAAATATATAAAAATACATAATACAATTCTATATAGTCAAGCCCAGCACTCTCCAACAGAATTTACTACAATGATCAAATGGCAGTCACTAGACCACACGGCCATTGGACACTTGACTTGTGGCTAGAGTGAGGAACTGAATTTTAAATTTTACTATCTTCATTAAATTTAAATATCCTCAAGTATCTAATGGCTCGTGGGTTGGGCATCAGTCTAGGCACTGAGAAAATTCCAAAGGAAAATTACATATGCCAAATTAAAGAAAGAGCATAAAAAATATTTTTTGGTGAAACATACCCCAGGTCATCATAGTTTATTAGTTCTTGTTTCCAAAGATTAAAAGCCAGGTTGTTTTTCAGTCATGTGAATAAACAAGGATTTCTGTTTTTCTATTTGCTTCCTGAGCCAATGAAACTTTGCCACAAACTTACAAAGCATACTTACATCTACTGGCTCATTTTATCCTGATTATTACCACCTTCTGGGGTAGACAGAGCAGGGATCATTTCTCCAAGTTCAGGGAGTTTAACTCCCTTGCCCAAATGTTCATGTTGGAAACTGGAATTAGCCTAGTTTCTCTGAGTGAGAAGCTCTCTAACCCCAATCTGGTCAGTAATTTAATGTTTTATACTGGCCCCACAACTCCTGTCAGTCCCCTCTCCTCCCAGCCCCTCCAGAAGTACTGGTCCAGCTTTCCAGACCTATTTCCGTAAATACTTGTATGTATGTATGTATGTATGTATGTATGTATGTATGTGTGCATACACACACACACACACACACACACACACACACACACACACACACACACACACTTTTTTAGCCAGGCCAAGGTCCCAGCAGTCTTTTTCCATGTAACATGTTTATTTCCAACTTCTCTGCCACTATTTCTGTTATTTCCTCTGCCTGGGGTGCTCCCCTTTCCTCATTCATTTATTCCCTTACTCACTTACATCACTCATGAGCTATATGGTCGACCCACCATGTAGCAAGCACCTGCTAGTGTGACTGGAGAAGATATTTTTCTGGATTCAAGGAACTTACAGAATAAAGAATATTTATTAAATTCCAACTATGTGTCAAACATTTTACATATAGACCTTCTCTCCTTAGAGCAACCCTACAGGGTAGATATTATCAGTCCCATTAAAGATGAGGAAACTGAGGGTTAGACAGGTTGGACCTTCACGGGTTTCACAGTGACCCAGCTGGGCCTGGCTGCAAAAGCAACAGGTTTTCTACCACTGAACGCCACTGTTCCTCCCATAAACTTACACTCTAGGTCCTGATCCTATCCCACCTTCTCCATGATCTGTCCCAAGTTTTCCTGGCACACGGTACTTTCTCTAGACCCTTTCCCACTATAGCACCCAGTATCAGTACCAAACATTTCAACACCTGATCAAAGTCTATCTTGTACTGCCTCTAATTGTTTGGGGACTTTATGTGATAACTGGCTTGGCAGACAGAAAATACTGCATTTATGAATAAAGAACAGGAGACTCTTAGAAATAAGAAATATGATAGCAGAATTAACAACAACAACAACAACAACAACAACAAAAAGACAGTTGCAAGGTAAAACTGAAGATAACTTACAGGAATTAGAAAAAAATGGAAAAATGGGTGGAAGAAAATTATACACAAAAATCATAAACAGATGTTCTAGAAAGGGAGAAGAGAGAATACGGAGAGGGGAAAATCAAAGACATAATTCATATTTCCAGAACTGAAGAACATGAATTGCTAGATGGAAGGGCCCACTGAATGCCCAGCACTATGAATGAGGAGACCAACAACTAAGGACATCATTCTGAAAATCCAGAACACAAGGGACACAAAGAAGCACCTCCAGGAGTGCAGAGAAAACAGAGCATCAAAGCCCTGACAGCATGGCACTAGACTCTTAACAGCAACACTGGAAACCAGAAAGGAAAAATAGAGCTATGCTTCAAAACTCTAAGGGAAAGTGATTCCAAACCCATAACTCCAACAAAACCATCAACTGAGTGTAAGGGATGAAATACGAACATTGCCAAATAGGCAAGGTTTCAAACATCTACTTCCCATGTATCCTTTTCTCAGGAGGAGTCATGAAACAGGAGAGCCAGAGGAGAGATGGGAAGGCTGACAGCTCTCCAACAGGCCTCGAGAACAACCAATTCACTTTATGAAACAAGAGGAAGGGAAATGATACTAAGGGGAAGAAAAAACTGACAAAAATACATACTGGAAGAATGTACCTGGAAGGTAGGAAAGTAGGAATTAGCAGTAAGTACACAAAAAAAGGAGCAAAGAAAAACTAAGTAGAGAGGAAGGCCACGAGAGCCCTGAGGGAGGACTGCCCTCATCTGCCACTGGCTGCCCCCAGAGCCTGCTTGCCCAGTTATTTCTTGAAGTCTCTGAGCAACCTCAGAGATCGGAGTGTCTGATTATTGCCTTCCTTTTCATGTTAGGATACGGCTGACCTCTGAACAACATGGGTTTGAAATGCACAGGTCCACTTACACACAGAATTTCTTCCATAAATACAAGTACTGTAAGTGTATTTTCTCTTCCTGAGGGTTTTCTTAATAACATTTTCTTTTCTCTAGAATACATTATATGGTACACATACAAAATATGTGTTAACTGTTTGTTATCGGTAATGCTTCTAGTCATTAGTAGGCTCTTAATAGTTAAGTTTTGGAGGAGTTAAAAGTTATAACCCCCATATTATTCAAGGGTCACCTGCACATTTATTTTGCCTGCTAGAAAAAAAAAAGTGGGGCAGAGAACAAGGAATTGCAAAACAAAATGTAACTTGGTATATACCACATGGCTTAGGTGTAATTAACACATCGTCTAACAAGGACAATCAAGAACACTATAACCACTCTGGAACAACCAAGAACACTATAACCGCACTGGAAGGATACAGAAAGGGAAAATGTGCTTCTTGGAGGGGTGGGTTGGGACGGTGTTGATAAGAGAGCTAAGTAGTGAACCTTAAAAAGTCAAAAATATGACATTTAAAATGAAAAAAAAGTTAAGAAATAATTATATATGTATATTAATTAGAAATGTAAATATCAAAAAAAAAAACCCATCCCCAAATTATAAGTTGTTAGTGGTTGTTTCTAGGAACAGAATGAGAAGTAGGAGGGAAAGGTGTAAACAATGGTATTGTTCTGCATGCCTTGCTGTGACAATAAATAAATAAATAAATAAATAAAAACAACTTCTTTGACATAGGCCATAGAAATATTTTTCTAGGTATGTCTCCTCAGGCAAGGTAAACAAAAACAAAACTAAGCTATTGGGAGTACACCAAAATAAAAAGCTTTTTGCATGGAAAAGGAAACCATCAACAAAACAAAAAGGCAACCTACTGATTGAGAGAAGGTATTTGCAAATGATATATCTGATAAGGGGTTAATATTAAAAATATATAAAAAACTTACACAATGCAATACCAGAAAAACAAATAATCCAATTAAAAAATGGGCAGAGGACTTGAACAGACAATTTTCCAAAAAGACATACAACTGCCCAACAGGCACATGAAAAGATGCTCAATATCACTAATCATCAGGGAAACGCAAATAAAAACCACAATGCTATACCATCTTGTACCTGTCAGAATGTCTACAATAAAAAAAAAAAAAAAAAAAAATTAACACACACACACACAAAATAACAAGTGCTGGCTAGGATGTGGAGAAAAAGAAACCCTTGGGCAATGCTGGTGGGAATACAAATCAGTGCAGCCACTGTGGAAAACAGTATGCAGGTTCCTCAAAAAACTAAAAACAGAATTATCATATGATCCATCAATTCCACTACGGTATTCACCCAAAGAGAATGAAAACACTAATTTGAAAAGATATATGTACCCCTGTGTTTTTTGCAGCATTATTTACAATAGCCAAGATATGGAAGCAACTCACGTCCTTTGATAGATGAATGGATAAAGAAAATGTGATATATATACACACACATAAGGGACTATTATTCAGCCATAAAAAAGAAAGATCTTGCCATCTGCAACAACATGGATGAACCTAGAGGGTATAATGCTAAGTGAAATAAGTCAGAGAAAGACAAACACCATATGATTTCACTCATGTGTGGAATTTCAGAAACAAATGAACAAAGAAAAAGGCAAAACAAAAAAGCCCAGATTCTTAAATACGGAGAACTGGCAGTTGCCAGATAGGAGATGGGTGGGAGGATGGGTGAAATAGATAAAGGGAACTAAGAGTACACTTATCATGATGAGCACTGAGTAATGTAATTGTTGAATCATTATATTGTACACCTGAAACTAACAGTGTACATTATACTTTAAAAAAAGGAAAAGAAAACAATAAAAACAGCAGGATCTACCATTTATATATCTATTGTGTGTCAGTCACTTTATGCACATTCTCTCAATAAATTCTCTCAACAACCCACTAAGGTAAGTTTTATTATCAATTATTACTTGCTGTCATAATGGCAATTCTAACCTCATAAGACTGTCACGAGAATTAAAGGAGATTACACACTTCATTGTCTAGCAGAGTGCCTGGTACAAAGTTAAATTCAACAAAATGTTAGCTCTTATTATCTTCATTTGAAGAGAACAGACCCTGAGGGAGAAAAAAATGAATATAGGGCAAAGTAAAAAGCAGTTCAATTTGAATAAAGAACATGTGTAACAAACCAAGCACTACTAGATTGGAAACTAGATTAGAAAGGAACTTAAATGCTACATCTTAGATCATCGACAAGTATCTGCATGAGAATGTCACAAGTCTAGGTCAGGGGTTGACAAACTTTTCCTGCAAAAAGGCAAGCAGTAAATATTTTAGAGTCTGTGGGTTATATGGTCTCTGTTGTAACTACTCAACTCTGCCACTGAAGCAGGAAAGCAGTCCTCGATAACACATCAATTAATGCATGTGACCATGTAATAAACCTTTAGAGTAGAACTTTATTTACAAAACAAGCAGTGGGCTAGTGTGGCCAGCAGGCATTGGTTAGCCGACCTTTGATCTAAATGAAAGGTAAAAGAAAACCAGACCAAGGCAAGAGCAGTGCAAACAAAAAGGCAGAATAAATTCAGGAATGCTACAGAGACCAGGAGGTGAGCAATCTCTTCACCCTAACACATACACATGGCTTCTTGCGCCCAGTGCTCTCCAATTACTGCCTTACTTCTCTCCTCTTGTGGCAAACTTGTCATCTTCGTTTCCTCATCTCTCACTCATTCCTCAACTTGCCTCCTGTCTAACCACGACTGAAGCTACTCTTACAAAGCCACAAAAAATGTCCTGTCGACGTCAAATGATTCTTTCCTCTTCATTTCCATTCCTTCCTAAAACTCTTTAGTCATTTACAACATTCTGTGGCCTCTTTCACATTAAGTTCTCAAGGTGGCAATCCTAATCTTCCTGTTGGCCTCCATTCAAAGGAGATATAATGCTCATATAATTTAAAGGCTTTTCTTCAAATCAGGAACTCATCTTCAGCGAGGATGGTTTTTCTGCACAAGTCTTTATGCCCTGTGTTGCCATTATATTAACTCCGGAGGTTGCACCATAGGTTTCATTGCTTCAGAAACGGGTTAGTGCATTGCTTGGTTTTGGGGATCCCCACTTCAGAATTGGGAGTGTCAATCTGCATGGTGCAGGACTCGTGAGACTTTTAATTTTTTAAGTTTGTTTATTTATTTATTTATTTGGAGGAGGAAGAGCAGAGAGAGAGAGAGAGAGAGAGACAGAGAGAATCCCAAGCAGGCTCTGCGCTGTCAGCGCAGAGCCCAGTGCAGAGCCCAATGCAGGGCTCAAACCCATGAACCTGAGCCAAAACCAAGAGTCAGCTACTCGACTGAGCCATCCAGGCACCCCAGGAGACTTTAACTTTTATAATATCTGGAAAAGCAGGTAGAAACAATGGGTAGAATTTTTCTTGTCATCCTCTCACTAAGGGAGTAGACGTTCCACATTCCTAGCTTTACTCAGAGTTTTCAGTTTTATCTTATTTGGAAGCAAAGTCATATTCTCTTTCCCTGTGTAAGCTTTTTTTTTTTTTTTTAATTTTTTTTTTTCCCAACATTTATTTTTGGGACAGAGAGAGACAGAGCATGAATGGGGGAGGGGCAGAGAGAGAGGGAGACACAGAATCGGAAACAGGCTCCAGGCTCTGAGCCATCAGCCCAGAGCCTGACGCGGGGCTCGAACTCACGGACCGTGAGATCGTGACCTGGCTGAAGTCGGACGCTCAACCGACTGCGCCACCCAGGCGCCCCACCCTGTGTAAGCTTTAAAACACCAGCCCCTGCATCCTAGATCAAGAGCAGGCCAACTATGGCCTTCTTTTTGAGTTACAAATGGTTTTTATATTTTTAAATAGTTGGGGGAAATCAAAATAATATTTCATGACACGCGAAAATTGTATGAAGTTTAAATTTTGGTGTCCATGAAGAAAATTTTATTGGAATACGTCATTCCCATTCATTTATGTACTGTGCTATAATGGCAGAGTTAATAGGAGTTATAACAGAGAGCACATGACCTGCCAAGTCTAAAATATTTATTATCTTGCCCTTCACTGAAAAAGCTTGCTGACTCTTGGTCTAGCATCTAGGGTGTATATTTAGTCAAACTCTTTTCTAGGCATATATGTGCATATATGCATGCACATATGTATAAGACAGAGTATGTAGGTCATGTATCTTACATGTGCATGAGACAATGTACTTTCTTCTTGACTCTCTATTGTTTTGGTTTCTGTGACATCACTTTTTTCTACTTTTCCTTCTGCCTATTCCTTCTCATTTTCCTTTACTAGCCAGTGCCCTTTCCACTGTCCCCACCAGTTAGTCCTTCCTAGGGGTTTGGTCCTTGGCTCTTTTTTTTGCCTTAACTACACACCTTCCTGAGGGTAGGGCTTCTTAAAGTGTGGTTATGGATCACCTGGACTGTTATCACTTGGGTTATATTAAAATTATAAGTTCTTAGGCCAGAATTCAGACTTACTGAATCAGTCCTACCCCATCTTTAAGTGGGGCCCAGGAAACAATTTTTAAACAAGTTGTTTTTTTTTTTTTTATGTATACGAAAAATCAAATGTGTGAACCACTACTTAAGCTTATGCTCATTTTCACCATTTTAACTATCAGTGATATGCTTACAACTAAAAATTATAAAAAAAAAAACAACTAAAAATTATATATCCAACTCTGCCCCCTCTCTAGAACTCTTCCAGGAGTTGTCTGTAGGCACCTCCACTTAAATCTCATAGGCATAAACTCAAAATGCACAAAAGAGGTCTTCCCAAACCTACTCTTCCTCCTCTGTTCTGTTCATTTTTTTTTTAAGTTTTATTTATTTTGAGGTGGCAGGGAGGGAGAGAGAGGATCCGTGCTGTCAACACAGAGTCCAACACGAGGCTTGAGCCCATAAACCATGAGACTATGACCTGAGCTGAAATTAAGAGTCGTATATTCAACCAACTGAGCCACCCAGGAATCCTTTTCTCTCTTTCAATCAACAGTATCACCTTTCACCCTGCAGTCTAGTTCAGAAACCTGGGATCATTCTTGACACTTCCATTTCCTTTACCCATATCTAAAGACTGTTGATTCTACCTCCTGAATATCTTTTGCATGGATCCCCACCCTATCTATTCCCAGCCACTGCCCTGTTCTGGGCTCTCATCTTTACATCTCCAGGACTGTCACAGTAGACTTCTAACTGCAGGATGCCCTTACCTTTCCAAATCCACACTCCACAGTATTATCTTTCTAAACGTAAATTTATTAGCTCTTGCTTAATTTCAGCCAAACTGCACAACTCCAGAGGCTCCACTGCCCAGAACACAAAGTCTCCCAACTGGTATCTCCACTGTTCTCACATGCACCTCCTTCAGTGGCTTCCCAGTACCTGCAGAATAGTTTTAGCTCTTCACACTTCAAATGAAGCCTGCCCTATTCCAGCCATTGCCAAGCTCTAACCTAACATCTGGCCCTCCCACCACTACCCTCATCCTTTGTGTTCCAGATTTGTTTTTCCATAGGTGTTCCATTTGTCCAGGATGCCCCCTTTGCCTTCATCAGCTCAGTACATCTTTTTCTTCAAACTCCAGCTAAGGTGTCCCTCCTCTGTGAAGATTCTCCTGAGTTCTCTGGCAGAGATGATCATTAAAGCCAACTCTGATCTTGTACCAGTCTATGTTTATTATTCCACTTTCCAATAGACTTTGAGCAACTAACTCCTGCTAACTCTTTTATCCCCTGAAAGGTTGCTTGGTAGATGTACCTGAAATTGAAATGGGCCCAAATAAGTCAAGGATGACTCTACAGTTGGAGCCTGAGTACCTAGAAGTACTTAGGCTTCCATCAGTAGGGGCAAGGAAATCAGAAGAAGTAACCGTTTAGTGAGGGAAAGGGTGAGAGACACTGGTTTCTGTAACAAACATGCTGAGCTTAGTACTAAGGCAGAATATCTAGGTGGACAGGTCCAACTAGGAACTGGAAATACAATATGCAAGTTCCAGGGAGAGATCGAGTAGGACCAGAGTGATGGATCTAGGGGAAGCTGAAGCTGTAATGGTTGACAAGATAACCAAGAGAGAATAATAAGCTAAGAGAAGAAGGCAAACAGCATTCTGAAAATCATGAGGCAAGAGAAAACGACAAAAGGACAAGAAAATACCAGGAGAATGTAATGTTAGGAAAGGTGAGGGAAAACACTTTCCAGAAGGAAGGGAATTAAATTCTCTAGGAATGACTGAGGTTACCTGGTTTGAAAATAGTGCACTGGAGAAAAAAAAGTTTATAGACAGTATCTTTTCACCCTAAGCAGTGAAAGTATTTACATTTACTTAAACCAACCTAAATGTTGGTTTTCCTTGACATAAAGTTAAAAGTTCAAACATCAAATTCTGTTGGGGTTCTCCATGCACATATCCAGCATCAGAGACCACAGCACACCCCTAAGGGAGATCACACAGCTCTCTGACTACACAGTCAGAGCCATTCAGAATAGTAGACAGAAAACAAAGTCAAGGTAAGTAAAATCTGATCTGGGTTATACCTGAAATAGGACCCAACTGTGCCATTTTCCCTAGCCATGGGAGAGGTTCTGGGCCAGGCTCAAAGAGAGACATCATGAGGTTTGATTTCTTCTTGCTGTCAGCTTGGGAGTAGAGCATTCCATGCCATTCAGGACTAGATGGAGAGAAGATGGAAGACCAGAAGAATGTCAAGCCTGGGACTGTAACGTTAACAGCTTGGAGCCTGGAGTCTGCTTCAGATTCTTTGTCTCCTTCTCTCCCTGCCCTCCCCCTCTAGCACTCTGTCTCTCTTTCTTAAAAATAAACATTAAAAAAAAAAAATCACAAGGGCAGCAAATAGCCACAGAGGTCGGAAGGAGTAAGGGCTGCAACCTATGTTTCAGCGGCCTCCTTGAGTCATTCACAGCAACACCAACACAGGAAGTACTTCTAACAAAGGGCACAAAGACATCACCCAACTCTGTTCCCGCCTCTCAAGGGGCCCCAAGGGATTCTCATATTCAGAGCCAATACAAGTAACTCAGCAAATTAATACCTAATAAGAATTGTATTCTTCTTTTTGGACTAGGTAGTTTTAACTCAAGTAGAAATGGAGCTTCATTTGAGTACTCCTAATCTCTTCATCTTCTATACCAGTCAACCCCAGGTGATGGCCAGAAGATGATCAGTCACCTCTTCTTTCCTAACAATAAGTATTATAGAGAGGGAAGCAGATGGCTTTGCAAATTTTAAGACTGCAGCACACGTGAAAGCTAGAAAGGTTTTCCTCATAGGGAAGGGTTATAGCACAGTGGTTATGAGCATGGGCTCTGGAGTCAGAATGCATAAGAACCCTGGCTCTTCGGTTTACAAGCTGTGTGACCCTGAGCAAGTTCCCTGACCTCCCTAAGCCTCAGTTTCCTCATCTATACAATAGGGATAACACTATATACGACTGTTGTTGTGAGGGATTTAATGAATTAATACATGTAAAGTGACTACAGGAGTGCCTGGCACATAATACAATGTTCAACCAATGTTCTTGGCATCTTTTTTCATTTAGTTCTACCTCCTCATTTTATAACTAAGGAGGCTGTGAATATTGCATAAGATAGTAAGCAGTAGCACTGTTATAACTAAGTCCAGATTTCCTAGATAAAAATAGAAAAGAGGAAAATAGAGAAAGGATATAAAAGCAATATAAATAAAAAAAGGCTCACTCTATATTGACTTTAGGGGATGATTTAAAGAGCAGTTTAGAAGGTGATGGTAGGTGGGAAGGGTATGGCAGGGAGAGGAAAAAGATGACAAGAATATTTCTATTTCCTTCAGAAGAGTCTAGGAAATCCTTCGCTCTGTAAATTGATTCTCCCTTTCATTCAACCAAAGGTAAACAAAGTTTCTTACCCTAATTGAACTATTGCCACCATTCCTTCCACTTTTAGGCTGCCATGGAGCAGGACACAAAAGTTGGGTATTTTGCCTGCAATCTGATTGGCTGAGTTTTCATCTTCATTGTCATCAGTTATTCCAGTACCCACCTCATCACCTTCTGTGAAAAGAAAACAGGTCAGACTGAGATTAGCTACAAAACTCCCAGACCCCAATTATACTCCTAGGCTGTTTCTAGCCTTGGAAGGAGAGTATTTGCTTATAAAGGAATATTACTTATAAATTGCTTATATGGGAAGAAATAAGAAAAATTCTTATTCTGGTTTTCTAATATCCATATAAAAACCCATTTTCCCATATTATATGAATTCCATTTATATGGAACATCCAGAATAGGTGAATCTATTGAAACAAAAAGGACATTTACTGGTTACCTGGGCTTGAGGGATATGGGAAGCTAGGGGTTGACAGCTAAAAGGTTCCTTTTATGGTCGTGAAATTAAAACAGCAGAACCAGTTTCTTAGTATATTAGGCAACATTCAATTTTTATATAAAAAAATTTTTAAGCTTATTTATTTTTTGAGAGAGAGAGAGAGAGAGAGCATGCGCATGTGAGTGGAGGGAGAGGCAGAGAGAGGAGAGAGAGAATCCTAAGCAGGTTCTATGCTGTCAGCATGAAGCCTAACATGGGGCTTAAACCCATGAACAGTGAGATCCTGACCTAAGCCGAAATCAAGAGTCAGACACTTAACTGACTGAGCCACCCAGGTGCCCAAGATGTTCCTTTTTTTTTTTTTTTTTTTCCTTAAATGTGTGTTTTTGAGAGAATGTGAGTAGGGAAGGGGTAGAGAAAGAAGGGGACAAAGGATCCAAAGCGGGTCTGGCACTGACAGCAGACAGCCTGATGTAGGGCTCAAACTCACCAACCATGAGATCATAACCTGAGCCAAAGTCAGATGCTAAAATGACTGAGCTACCCAGGCCCCCATTCCATTTTTAAAAAATCCAATTCAGTAGGGGTGCCTGGGTGGCTCAGTTGGTTAAGCATATGACTTTCGATTTCAGCTCAGGTCACAATCTCACGGTTTGTGAGTTTGAGCCCCACATCAGGCTGTGCACTGACAGTGTGGAGCCTGCTTGGGACTTTCCCACTCTGTCTGCCCCTACCCTGCTCATGCGCTTTCTCTCTCTCTCTCTCTCTCTCTCAAAACAAATACATAAACATTAAAAAATTAAAAAAAACAACCCGATCCAATAACTATTCCTTTGCCCCAATTCTTCAGATCATAAGGTGCTTCATCTTTATAACCAGAATAGGAAAAGAACTCACCTTTGTTAAGTGCTATTGGTAGGACCAGATGTCTGGACAGAACTGGGGGACTAGAAATATCAGCTATATCAATAAATCCCACTATTTCCAAATCTGAAAAAAAATGGAATCAACACAATTAATTCATGCTATAGGGAAGTACATTATTTTCTACGTACTAGATTTCACAAATACAGTACTTAGGTGAGGAATTCAGATGCGCTGACTAGGAATGTTATTAGAAGTTTCTCTGGATGATTCATAATTTGCATTTTAAATAGCTGAAGAAATAATACTACATGCCTTTCATTTAATGATTTAAGTTATAAGACAAATCAGCTAGACTTTATTTTTATGAGGCTAGGTCCCCAGCCAAGACGAAAGCTTCAAGGTTGAATCCCTGTTTAGTCAGGGATGCTCTGGTCAGCAGGGGGCATCACAGTGTAGCACGTCCACCAAGCCACAGTCGCAGGAGGAACTGCCATTCCTGGGACAGTAAAACTATCATTAAAAACATTTCTGTGAGAAAGAAATATATTATCTATAAACCCAAGGTAGCAGTATAACCATGACAATGATTGCTTTATAGAAGCTGTATTAAAGACCATGGGTATTTGTTGAAAACCTAATAGGTAAAAAATGAAAGTTTTATCCCAAAGTACTTTTTTTTTAAGTTTATTTTCTGATTATATAAATAGAAAAACTTGGAAAAACACTAAAAATTGTAAAGAAGAAAAGTCAGTCGTTCTTCACCGTCAAAGGAAACCTCTCTTAATATTTTATTGAATTGCTTTTCAAGTCTTTCTTCTAGGCACAGACATACCTATATTCTCAAACGATTTTTTAAAAAAATCAGAGTCACAGTGAGTACGTTGTACTTCAAACACACCAGGAAATCTGCTTCTCTGGAGAGTTGTTGTCATTACCTTCTTCAGCTTAGTAACAAATGAATCAGCATAAAGCAGTCACATATTTTTCATTTGAGTAGCACAAGGCCTGCATTTTAAAGTAGCTTAAAAGGAGTATAAGCTATGGACAAAGATCTTGGACCAAAAGTTTATATGGAAAAGAAAAGACCAATTGAAAGGTACTTATCAAAAGAGATGGGAGGGAGTAGAATCTAGATGGTCTGAAGGCAACAAAACACTTGACACAGCTTAACACAGTGTAGGAGCCACAGTGAGAGAGAGGGATGCCCTACTTCCAGACAGCCAGGAGCTTAAAGACACAAAAAATAAAAAGCCTTTGCACAGCCCTTCACTCTCAAGACTCCTTCAAATCTATACACCCATGAGTGAAATGAACATTTACTGTGCACTTAATTTTAATCATTTGTTGACTGAGCAATTATCTAGTAAACACCTATAAGCATCAGATACTGTGCTAGGCACTGAAGGGAGGACAATGATGATATAACATGCACCCACCACCTCGAGGGGTACACCTACCAATAGGAGACAACTCTCCTCTCCACTCTTGTTAGGTTTGATTCACTTTGCCAATCTCAGCTAAGCACAGCACTATCAGCACGAACCAGGTAAAAGCAGTAGCACATCTCTTCCTTTTAGTCATAATATAAGCACCAGGGCTAAAGGGGTACAGTATATCAGAGCAGAGACCTCAGAGAGACCATGATTCATCTAAAGATTTCCATGCACCTAGGCAATCAGAATTAGAGGAAGTGATCTGTCCAGCATCACACAGGAAGAACCACACAGCCAAGTTTAGAAGCTAGCTCTTCACAGATGATCTTAATTATGATGCTAATCAATCTTAGTATCTCTTAAGAATTACTTCAAGGATATCATCACTAGTAAATCTGGTCATGATTTCTAACTCTATTTAATTTGTGGGCTATAGTTATCTAGGATTGGAGATTAATTCATGACCTCACCATGAAAGATTACCAGCCTGCCACCCCTTAGGCAATGCTTCCTCCCACCCAAAATATACATACTGGTGATGACAACAGCACCCTGGTATGAGAACTTACATTTCTTTTCAATCCTCTTGGATAGAGAAGAGTAGAAGTCAGAAGTTACAAGAAAGTAAGGATGACAGAAGAACTAAGAAGGAAGTTAAAAAACACATTACCTGTGTTGATGACTTTAGGAATGGGATCAATTTCCTCATCTACAACAAAAGGCTCTGGTCTGGGGAAGACTTGCACATCAGCGGTTAGATGGCCGCACTTGAGAACAGCATGGAAAGGCGTATATGCTAGATCTATTAGTTTTCTAGAATATGAGGATTAATTGTTATTAGAAGAGTAATATGATACATATTTTTTCATGTAATTTTTTCAAGATGCTGTTTATTTTCCCTTCAAGTTGATTCCAAAACTATGATCTGACCATTTGTGAAATAGAACAAAGTCTGACACTTTTGGTGAGCAAATTTCAATCCTGAATAGCCCAAAAGCAAATTAATCTTTTGAAACTGCTGAGTCGTTGTAAGGAGGTCAATATCTATAGACATCACTGATTCAGTCATGCCTAATTTAAAAGGGAATGAACTTTAAAAAATCACTACTACCATTAATTTTTACCTGACAATTGTGCAACTCGGGCAAAATAAAATAACAATTAGAAATAATGAAACAGATCTTATAGTGGAATATCAAATTATAACAACAGATTGTAAGAAAGCAAAAAAAGCTCAAAGGATATACTCACCCAAACATAGACTGTACATTTTTCAAGCACAGGGGGCCATCAATAGTAAAAATCTGCCCTTCGCCATTGTTTAAATCTATGAGACGTTCAAGGCAATCCAAAGAATCAGTACTCTGAAGCTACAAGGCAAAACAGATGACCCTTGTAAAGTGGCACACAATGACAGATTATTATCAGCACACCAAGGTCAAACCCATTACAATAACACAGCCAATAAGTAATAGAAATGATTTTTTTAACAATGTGAGAGAAAAATAACTATAACAATTTTGATTCAAGGTTACTAAGAGGAATGTTATATAAAATGATACCAGGAGAGCTATTTCATTCAGAAAGTTTTACAAAGATTCTCAGAAGTGACCACAGTTGGTATTTACAGTCTCTTTCCTCCAAGGCATTTCTAACATCTTTTGGTGAGAACCATCATTATCTACATTCTACAGACAGAAAAACTGAGGTGAAGAAAGGTTAACTAACTTTCCCAAAGAAATGAGAAAAGCAGGAAGTAGAGTTTAATAAAACATGTATCAGTAGTGTTACTTTACTGAAAAAGTTCAAGCACACTTCTGTCAACATTTCTGGTGGAATGGACATAAGAATTCCTAAACGAGAGAAATGTCTTAACACCAAAACGAACATTTTGACTTTTAGGCATCTGAAGAATCTCTGTGGGAAGTAGGACAAACAACAAGTCCAGCTATGTTTCCCGAGATGGGCAACCTCTAAACCTCCAAAGAGCATTACAGACCTAGAGTCTTTTCATATATAATTTAGTGACCAGCCTCAGCTGAAACCAATGGAGTTCAATGCTATAGTATACACAATATTACTATTAATGGAATATACTAAAAAATAAAATCCTAAGACGTATCTAACCAAACTAAAAAGAACTTGGTATTACCTCCTCCAAATTTGCCATGCACATGATGTATAACTTAGATGGGAAAGGAAAAGGTAGTGGAAACCTGTTGCTCTCGCTTCGTTGACTGTGAGTAGCTAGGGAATGCCGCAGTGACCCTCTACCAATGCCAAGACAGCCATCTGTCACCAGAACAACCTGTTTGCAAAGTGTGAGAGGAGGTTTGTACATGAAATAACATATTTATTTAAAGCAGTCTCATTTAGCAATGTTTTCATTTCTCCCTAATTGCACCTACACTGAAAACCCCATCTCTTCAGGGAGATAAGCAAGAAGGTAAATAAATCTCAAAAACATTTTGTCAAGTGAAAGATGACACAATGTAGGACTCTATTTATATGAAGTTCTAGTACAGATGCAACAAAGCTAAGATAAATCAAACATGAGACTTCAGGTATAGGCGGATAATGACTAGAAAGGGGGTTGAGGAAACTTTGTTGGATAACGGAAATGTTCTAGATCTATACTGGAATAGTGGTTACATAGGTGTATGCATCTGTCAAAACTCAGGGAACTACGTGCTTAAGATCTATGCATTTTACTGTATTTTATATAATTAAACATAAAAACTAGTACCTACCTATGAATACTTAAAATCATATAATCAATTCTTACTTAATTGTATTAAAACTAGAACTCGATCTCTTAGCTAAGGGGTGGGCCCCTATGGCACTGGACATCAAGAATGACATGAGGATCTATTTTACATGGACCTAGGAAATCTGAACCTTGACACTATTTTCAGAGATGTTAAACTCTACCTGGTCAATTAAAAAGACCAGTGTTTCAGGGGTGCCTGGGTGGCTCAGTCAGTTAAGTATCCGACTTCAGCTCATATCACGATCTCGTGGCTCGTGGGCTCAAGCCCCGTGTTGAGTTCTGTGCTGACAGCTCAGAGCTTGAAGCCTACTTCAGATTCTGTCTCTCTCTCTCTCTCTCTCAAAAAATAAATAAACGTTAAAAATATTTTTTTTAAATGACAACTGTTTTAAAAATGTATTCATAAAAGCCATTTAACCAGACATGTATAAGACCTTTAAAATACATTCTTAATCAACCTGCAATTTGAAAAAGCCTTCCAACTATACCAACAATAGACAGTGGTTACAAATCATTTTCCTCATTGCTTCAGAGACCCTACAGGGTGGTAGACTTTCCAAGCATTCCAGAGGAGGACTGTTTTGGCTTTTCCTATTCTAGACTTGTACTTGATAAAACAGCCATTAAAGCAGTATTAGGTGACTGCAACCATGTGAAGTACCAAGATTGGCCCTTGTTTCTAAAGCCCAAGAATGCTCAATGGCAGTCTCCTGGAGGGATGTCATCTTTTGGGAAGATAGTTTATTACAAGGCAATGTCCTCTTCTATGAACAAATGCTATATAATGATTTACTTCTGCCCCTACTTTTTTCAGATGCTTTGTGATAGTGGAAATATTTCATGTAATATCAAAATGAGACAGACTTCACTGAGATAATGAAGACATAGTCCAGCTGTCTAAAACCTTGGTTAATAAAACTCCATGTTAAAACAAATCTATATGATAGCAACGGATTATAAAAACAATCACTAATAACTTCCACACCTAGCACACTGTTTTGGACCTGATTCACTCCAAAACTCATCAAACAAATCTAAGTGGATCCAGGCCTAGCCCCATGACCTCAGGGTACAGTACATCTCAAATTCAGATTCTTCCTTTTGCAAAGGAAGAAAAAATATTAAAAGGCAGAAGTCTGCATGGTACACAAGATCTTGCTTGTTACATATTTTCTGAATTTCTTCTCTAAAATGACTGAAGTAGCAAAGGAAACTGTGCTACCAGTTAGCTTCTAGTTCAGAAGATACTGACAACAAAATTTCATTTATTCAGTATATTGTTAGGACATTAGAAATTCTGTATGCACAGATTTACCAAATAAATGTTTATGAAGGTGCCAAATATGTTTATTTCTGAAAATAAACTGATCTAAAGGCATTTATGGCATTTGCTAAAGCGATTTAACCTTTAGTAGCAGCTCAGGGTCTTCATTAACCCATGAGTTCATACTCTGTAAAACAGGGTGGTTTGACAGTAAGAAAAAAAACCCAAAAACCAAAAAAAAAGTTGGGTTCATTAGACAGACTTCACACGCAATAAAACTCATCCTTCTTAGTATACAGTTCTAGGAATTCCAACAACTGCCTTTAGTGAGCAACGACTTCTACAATCAAGATAAAGGCTAGTTCTGTCCTGTCACTTTCCATTCTCCCTTGTGCTTCATTTAAGTCAATCCCCTAACCCATCCCTCACCCCCAGGCAACCACAATCTTAAAAAATAAATACCAGTTATGCCATTGACACTACTAAAGAATCCATGTTTGACCATATAATAAAAAATCATATGCTATGGCACACTGCCTGTTTTCATAAATAAAATTTTATTGCAACACAGGCTTTTCATTTATTTACTTTTTATCTATGGTTGCTTTCATGCCATGACAGTGGAAATGAGTTGTCGTCACAGACATCTGCAACATCTAAAATATAGAAAAAGCTTGTTGGGGTGCCTGGGTGGCTCAGTTGGTTAAGTGTCCAACTCTTGATTTCAGCTCAGGTCATGATCTCATGGTTTGTGAGACAGCCCTGCAAAGCCTGCTTGGGATTCTCTCTCTCCCTCTCTCTCTGCCTCTCCCCAGCTCATGCTTGCTCATGTGTGTGCATGCGCTCTCTTAAATAAATAAAGTTAAAAAAAAAAAAAGAGAAAAAGAAAAAGCTTGCTGACTCCTGTTGTAGATTACTATAATTTTTCTGTTAGTGTTTTTTTGTTTTCTCCTTTAAAATATGGTACCACTTCTTGGGGCGCCTGGGTGGCGCAGTCGGTTAAGCGTCCGACTTCAGCCAGGTCACGATCTCGCGGTCCATGAGTTCGAGCCCCGCGTCAGGCTCTGGGCTGATGGCTCAGAGCCTGGAGCCTGTTTCTGATTCTGTGTCTCCCTCTCTCTCTGCCCCTCCCCCGTTCATGCTCTGTCTCTCTCTGTCCCAAAAATAAATAAACGTTGAAAAAAAAAAATTAAAAAAAAATAAAAAATAAAAATAAATAAAATATGGTACCATTTCTCAAAGCACAAGCATATTTGTCGTTGTATTTTTTTGTTTTTGTTTTGTGTTTTTGTTTTGTGCTTCACAGATATTACAGTTTTTACAAATCGAAGGTCTGTGGCAACCCTGCACTAAGCAAGTTTATCGGTGCCATTTTTCTAATAGTATTTGCTCACTTCGTGTCTCTGTGCCACATTTTGGTAATTCTTGCAATATTTTAAACTTTTTCATCATTGCTATCTTTGTTATGGTGATCTGTGTCAGTGATTACAACTTTCAGTTGACATCATTTTAGCAATATTTTTAAATTAAGATATGTACTTTTTTTTAGACATAATGCTATTATACACTAAATAGACTACAGTATAGTATAAACAATTTTATACATACTGGGAAAGCAAAAACTTCATGTGACTCACTTTACTGCAATATTAGCTTTATTCTGGTAGTCTGGACCGAACCCACAGTATCTGTGAGGTATGTCTGTACCTAATATTTATAGCAAACTTCCAATTCTCTTTTCATCTTAATACTCTGTTCTGATTTGATGCTAATGTGGACCCTGCTGTGGACTCTAAGTAAAGGGCAACAGATATATGACATTCATACTCCCTCCATTTTTAGACAACTCAGTTGAGATGGTTAAGTTTGCTAAACAAATGCTACAGTGAGATAATGAAGACAGAGTATAATGTACTGATGTTTATAATTGTATCATTCAAAATTATAATTACCCCTTCTAGGAAGTGTTCTAAAATTCAACTGTGAGCACTTCGTGTTTTATACAAACAATATTGGTTTGCAATAAGCCAATTTACTAGGAGAATGCTTTCCTCAAGGCATAATTTTGCTGTTTTCTGAGCATGGTAGTGTTGACTTAGTGCCTTCTTTTAAAAAGATACCAATCGTGTATAATGTAGTTTATAGAAATTACAATGCATGCTGTGTCAGAGCCTAAAGAAAATCAAAGCACCTCAGTGGTTAATGGTTTTAACTTAGGGCAATGAAAAAGAATTGATCATTACCTGGCAAGGAATTGCGCCACCCCATTCTTGCTGAACAATATTGCAAACACCAACTAATGCAGATTCCAAGCAGGTTTTATCATAATCATCCATATTACTTAGTGCTTCCTAATTGAATAAAAGATAAAATTGCTCATTATTCTTTACTGTCTTAACCTGTTATTAGAAAACAACATAAACCATTCAAATCATGAATGTTACACAGGGGACATTGTGTTTCTGAGAGCCCAAAAGCATAGTTTCTCAAAGCAAAATGGTAAGACAGGCTTCCTCAACCACAAAGGACAATTAAAACAGCTTCCCCTTATTCTATTCTCTTATCAAGTATGAGTGAACAATCCACCAAGTTCATAGCTTTGTAAGGGAACCCTGAAGAAAGTAACTAAAATGAAGAACTTTTAAACACACCGAAAAAAATGACAAAAATTGAGTAGTAACTATATCCTAAACATCAACCTAGGCACTTTACATGCATTTAATTATCACAACACTGTAAGGTACAGATTATTAACCTATTTTTAAAATGAGGAAACTGAGGTACAGATTGATGAGGTAACTTTCCTAGGTCACATGCCTAGAGGTGGCAGAGTTTAGATTTAAACCCACTTAATTGGACTCTAGGGCTCCTGGTCTTAATCACTACTATGAACAACTTAGATAGTAATTCTCTAAATTTCAAAACTACTGAACATCCATTTATAATAGTTTATACTCATTTATAATAAATCCAGTGCAGGGGTGCTGGGGTGGCTCAATCAGTTAAGCGTCTGACCTTTGATGGTGGCTCAGGTCATGATGTGGTTGTGGAATCAAGCCCCAGGTTGAGCCCTGTGTTGAGCTCCGTGCTGAGCTCATGCTCGCTCCCTCTCTATCTCAAAATAAATAAACTTAAAAAAAAAAAATCCAGTGCAATTTTTAAAAAGCTTTTAGGTAACATTAAGAAAGTGACATAATAAAAGCAATGATTTAACAAAATGTTATTACTTATATTAAAAAAAAATCAAATTACACCGATCCTGGATTTCTAACCTACCCAGCATTTATTAACTATTTTCTTTTCTTTTATTGATTGATTTTGAGAGAGAGAGAGCACACGCACGCATGCACATGAGCAGAAGGAGACAGAGAGAATCCCAAGAAAGCTTCAAGCCCAGTGCATAGCCCAACATAGGGCTCAATCTCACAACCCTGAGATCATGACCTGAGCCAAAATCAAGAGTCAGAAGCTTAACGAACAGAGCAACCCAAGTGCCCCTAAACTGTTTTAATTCAACACTTATTGACTATAAGCAAGGCACTATGCAAGGTACTGCTGGAAATATGATTTAGAGATGTTGTCAGAAAGTAAATTTTCTGGCATTTCACAGACATCTTTTGAACTGACACCTAACAATTAAGGTTTAAAAATTATACTTTCTTGCCATCTGTAAATCAAAGCTATTTACTGGAGAGGAAATACAATTTTGAATTACTCTAGAATAAAGGTTTTTATAAGAAGGGCCATTTTTCAACTACTTGGTTTATAGGAAAATAGAAAATAATCAAGAATTGCACCTAAAGACCTTGAATTTTAGAAAATGGGGCACTACATCTTCACATGCTCTCCTTTCCACAGAAAAATTCCAGAAAACTGAGAGAAGAAAATAAAGTAACAACTCACAGCTCGAACTCATAGCTCTACCAAAGGCATAAGGCTTACAGTTTATGAATCTTTGTTTTACAGATATTTTATCTATAAAATTAACATTAAATAATCCCAAATTCTAAATATTCAGCCCAATATGGTAACACTGTTTTCCTCCCTAAAAATTTGAGCCTTGGATTGCAAACACTTATTCCTTTTTGTACCTGAAGTGTGTTGTAATCTCTTGTGAAGGGAACCATCAGCTCCCAGAGTGATGAAAAAACCACCAGGGCTGTAAACTCGAGCTTATAATTTGTGGCCATGTGCTCAAACAGCATCGTCAAACCATGGGCGGCTAGGTGCTTGCGTTGATATTCTTCAGACCCCTCAATAGACACAGGTCGGGTCATGGAAAGGGATACGTCCATTACCACCACTGTTGGCATGATGAAAGTGATCCCAGTGTTCCCAGTCAGAGTGCAAACACACAGCTACGAACAGAAAAATGCTGTAGAAAATAAACATGATTAGGTCTCACATGTCACAGAGAGAAAAAGGTTTTTTGTTTTTTGTTTTTACCCCACCATAATTTTAACCAAACTTTGCAGAAATGGGTGAAGGCAAACCACATTTAAGTTGAGGTGAAGGCAAATCTGTGGAGAGTTCAATGGGAAGGAAGCAAGCAGCTTAGTTCCCTGTGAGGAAGACTCCTAGAATCACCCACTAAATGGCCATAAATCAAGGACCACATAAGTATTTTTCTTGTTTTTAATTAATTTATTTATTTTTAGAGACAGAGAGGCACACATGGTGGGGGGAAGGCCCGAGAGAGGGGGAGAGAGAAAATCCCAGGCAGGCTCCACACTGTCAGCACAGAGACAGATACATGGCTCAAACTCACAAACCATGAGATCATGACCTGAGCCAAAGTCAGATGGTCAACTGACTGAGCCACCCAGGGGCCCCGGGCATTATTACTATCTTAATGAATACAGCAGTATTTGTATATGTGTTTATTTAATTATCGTGTTGCTTGGTGCCCTTTTTTTATTAAAATGAATGCAAAATACAAAAATGAAAGGGTTAGAAGAGTCATAATCCAAATCAGACAAAGCTGGAAATCATTAACTATTACAAAAGCAACACCCTCAGTAGTATGCACTGTACATAAATCAGGCAACAGTACTTTAATTGAAGGAAAAGAACAAAATTAAAGAATGTGAATGACAGCTGGCATTATCTCATGAAATTGTGTATAAAAGTCAATATGCAGAATAAATGGAGAAAACATTTCTATTCTCAAAAATAAAGAACATAGTTCATAGATATACAGACCTGTTCATGGGGACACAGCTTGCTGCTACTGTTACTAAGCAAACTACATTCTATTGACATAATCAAATCTTGTATAGCTATAAATAAAAGACACATATGTAAATATGAAAAATATTTACACAAAATACCAGTAACTGAGAAAAGCAGGTCATAGCATTCTATGTATATACTGATTACAACTTCATAAAAATTATACTGCATATACAATTAGGGAACACACTGGATGGATAATACTCATTAAAAAGTCATCAGTTTCTTTTTTAGAACTTTCTTTAAACACACTTAACAGTAGCCAGGCTGCTTGTTTCATTAAAATATCCAACTGCTAATGTGTGATATTCTAAAATTCCATTTCTACATAGGCTGCTGGGAACTTAGAACATACTGGTTCAGGGAAGCAATGTTATAAATGGGAGTCAGGGACTCAAGTAGGAAAAGCCTTTTTACCACATAGTGGCCCGAGATACATTTCAAATACAGTAATGCCTCATGTATCTAACATCAATAAAGATTAAATGAGAGATATAAATTACTTTTCCAGACTCCTCAAGATTCTAAAATGTTGGGGCACCTGGGTGGCTCAGTCAGTTAAGCGTCCAACTTCAGCTCAGGACATGATCTGTGGTTCAGGGGTTTAAGCCCCGAGTGGGCTCCATGCTGACAGTGCAGAGCCTGCTTGGGATTCTCTCTCTCTCTCTCTCTCTCTCTCTCTCTCTCTCTCTCTCTGCCCCTCACTGACTCATGCTTTCTCTTTCTCTCAAAATAAATAAATAAATAAATAAACTTAAAAAAAATTCCAAAATGTGTCACCATTTTGATAGACAAAATTAAAATGTGTATCTTTCTTCTCTGCCTCATTAAACACTGTGTGCTGAACATAATTTATCTCTTATGATGACTTGGCATCACCCGTCTAAACACCAATACTGCCTAACACCCTGGTACTCTGATAGGTTTCTTTACACCAACATTCCCCCAAGTACGTGCTGCGGAACACTGTTCTGGAGAAATGCTCCAAGAAAAATGAGTTCCGGCCTTATTAAAGATGTTGAAAAGTACCAGCGCAAAGAATTCAGTTTAATTTGCTAACCCTGTGTTTCCCATTTTACCTTTTTCTACATAATTATCATTAAGGTCTCAAAAAACAGGGCTTATATAGAACATACACAGAAACAATGCCTTAAGAAAAAAAAAAAGAAACAATGTCTTATATTCAAGGTATCCAGGCTGTTGTGGTTTGTTTTGGTGTCTTTTTATAATTAATTTTTAGCCTATAAGTTTGCATTCTACTTTCCTCAGTAATCCCCTGTAATCATCCTCCTCTTTCTAATTTGCTGCTTCTTGGCTACTATGGGCTGGAAAGTCAGGTAATCAAGCTTGTTAAAACTGCGTCCAAAGTCAAGCTGGCTCTCAGAGTCTGTGGGTTTCTTCTCGTATCAAATGTATGGGCTTAGGTGTGTCAACTTGGTAATATTTCACCTCCTCAGTCTTTTTTATTTCCTTTCTGGGTCTTAGCTGTGTTGTTCAAAAGGTGAGGTCCTGTACAATATCGGTTCAACTATACTACATTAGGCCATAAATTCAATAAAAGGGCACTGCCCACCAATGGTCTCCTCGGAACCTATCACAGTAACTGGCACATAGTGTGAGCTAGACAAATGTTTCATAATGACTACCCCTCATCATCAGATGTAACATTAATTCTTTGGCAAAACACATGATAAATTTTAACTCTGGACACTAGGAACACATTTCCTTCTCTCCTCATTCAATCAGAGATACTAGGGACACCTAAGCCTCTTCCCACAAGTAGAATCTCATGGGTAGACCTATTCATGCATAGAGACCTACCTGTTACTGAAAGTTAGGGATTATGGGAAGTACTTCCTCAACTCTTAGAGGAAACTGAGAAACAGGCTACAAAGATTTAGATCAGGTACACGAAAGCATCTCTATCCCACGAAATCGGTTGTAACACCGCACTGGGCGACCACGGCTGGCAGTCCTGCCTTCTCTGCGAACACCTCGAGTGCTGGCTCTTTCTCCTTACTGATGCATGTGTGTCCATCCACCTTCTTAATAGTGGCAATGTCATGGGAAACCATTTTAGTACCCAGGTTGTAAGCACAGAAGTAAAAGAGGGAACTGCATGTTCTTGAAGGATGATTCACTCAATCTAGCCCCGATTAAAAAAAAAAAAAAAAAATTCCTGCCCACCACAGTCCAGCAATTTTGTGAGAACGCGAAGCATTTCTCACTTGGGCTAATGCTCACCTCCCCGCCCCACCCCCGCCTTTCCCCATAAGTACTGTTTACATACAAGGCTAAAGACAACTGTAGGTCTCCTTTCTCAAGGTCAGTCTACTGCTGAGAATAGACCCTAGCCACCTGATTTGGCCTTAGGGCCAAGTCACAGAAGTACACATTTGCAATTCTTCCCAGCAGGTGACAATTGGCTCCTTCGTAAAGAAATGGTTCTCAGCAGTTTTGATTCCACTCGGATTTCTAGGCGCCCGCCCATTCACGTTCGGGTCCTCACCTACCCTCAGGTTTCTGAGTCAGCCTGACTTCCCTTGCCCTGAGGTTCTCAGATACAACTTCATCTCGAAACCTTCAGCCTGGAAATACAGCACGCCTGCATTTGAATCGCAGCTGGAGGGGTGTATTTTTACCTTAAAATCAGCCCAAAACAAAATTTTTGATCGGGAAGTCTCTCATGGGTAGAGGGGACGAACAGGGCCCAGGGAAGGGCCGAAATCGTGGTGTTTACGCGCGGCCGACGACCCCGAGCGGCGGAGCGAGGGGAACCCGGGAGCAGACGCCGCGAAGCAGGGCCCGGAACTGGTGCCGCAGAGACCGCGCGGGGCGGCGGAAAGGCCGGGCGCTGGCTCCGGGTGGCTCCTCACCCCTGACCCCTACTCCTGCAGCTCCAACAAGAAACGAAGGACGGCCCGAGACCGCAGCCGCCTCCACTCACCCCGCGCCCATCGCCGGCGCAGTCCGTCCGCGTAAACTTTCCGCCCGTGCACCACGGCCGGAACTATAGTGCCGCGCTACAGAAGGGAAGCCTGCGCCAGACGGCTCACGGGGTTGGGGCGGGGCTTTAAGGCCTGAGGGGCAGGACTCTGGCGCAGTTGGGCCGCTAGGGGGCGCGCCTTCATCTCTCCTTCCCTCCCCGTCCTTTCTCTGGCGCTTCCCTTTTTACCCCTGGCCTCCTGGCCTCCTGGCCACCTGCCCACCTGCCCACCTGCCCACCTGCCCACCTCCTCCCCTTTCTGGTAACTCTGAGCTCTTCACACTCCTCTCGCCTCACGCACCTAGGCCCGTTGGTGCACCAGCCTCTCCCTCGCTGGCACTTGTTCCTCGTCGCCCGCACTCTTCAGCCCCCTCAGTCAATATCCTACGAACCAGTTGACAGTATCCTCTCCAAACTATTTTTTAACTGCAATTCCTAACGGCTAAGCACATTTTTTTTTTTTTTTTTTTTTTTTTTTTAGCTGACCTGAGCCAGTTTACAAGTCAAGACTTTCTCTCTTGGTCTCCTCAGCGTGAGACTCACCTTATCCCCCCACCCCCACTCCTTCTTTAAGGGAAGGGGGGGGCGAGGGGGCGGGGGGAAGGTTCAGTGGGCTCTCCCTACAATGCCAGGCGCATTGCACTTAAACTTACCCGTGAGGCACCATGAGCCCTCGCCTGCCTCACCTCTGGCCGCCTGGTGTCCTACAGCAACCTGTGGGCCAGGTCTAGCCACGTAGGGAGCCAGGAAATGCCAGCTAGAAATAGGCCTGAATGGATGCCATCAGGCCGTGGGTAGATGTGGTTCAAAAAATCATGTTGTACCACACAGGTTACAAGTGAGAACAGAAAAAGGCCTCTGCCTCTTTCTTTTAGTTGGTGGAATGGGGTGAATTGGGGCAGGGGTGGGAGGAGTGGAGGTTGAGTCCAGGAGGGAGGATGCTTTGAACTGAACCACCCAGTCTGTCTGACTTTTCACAGCTTGTTCTGTGGGAGAGTACAGGGTCCAGTTGATGGGGTTTGGGGAGATGGGGGTTCTGAGCTGACGGCCAAGAAAGAATTCTTGAAGATATCTTTGGTGCAAAAAAGGTGATTTTCTTAAAGCATGGGGACAGGGTTGTGGGCAGAAAGAACTGCACTGTGGTTGTGAAGAGTGACTTGTTATACACTATGGGGCTGGGAGAGGTGAGGTCAAGAGGAAGTTTCTTTTTTAAAAAAATTATTTTAATGTTTATTTATTTTTGCGAGATGGAGAGACAGAGCATGAGTGGGGGAGGGGCAGAGAGAGAGGGAGACACAGAATCCAAATCAGGCTTCAGGCTCCGAGCTGTCAGCACAGAGCCCAACATGGGGCTCGAACTCACAGACTGTGAGATCATGCCCTGAGCCAAAGTCAGATGCTTAACATTTAACCAACTGAGCCACCCAGGTGCCCCAAGAGGACTCACAGATTACTGGAGGCCTATCTCTTGTCAAGCTAAAATTGTTTTTCCCTCTAGCAAAGTATTAACATTAAGACAGTAGGGAGTTCCTGGAGTTCTACTCTGCCTGCCTCAAGTATATGTCGATGCCTGCAGGTTATAAGGAAATTTAATTTTACCTGCCATTGCCTTTTTGACTTTGTTCCCCCTATCACTATGGAGGGGTGATGTTGGGGCTCCAGGAAACTGAGTCTATAGTTTACTGGAGATTAGGTTATTGATAAGATTGCCTTTTCTTTGTAATTTACTAAGATATTTGTATACTGATGGAGACCCTATCAGTTTAACCATTTGTTTTCTGTCCTTTCCTTTGTCCTTGGGCAGCCAGGAGTGCCTGAGGAATATCACACATTTGTCACCTGTAGGGGGAGGGTATGCTAGCTTGTACTTTGCCCTCAGCCTGCCTTATGGTCCCTCATCACATTTGCTTATAGTTCTTTCTTCTTCTTCTATCCAAGGTGGCAGAAGAGGAGTCAGTCCCTGGGAATGTCCCTGCCAGCACCAAGGCCCAAACACCTACAGACTGTCCTTTTTGTTTCAGAACTTCTTTCCCCAACTTGGCCAGCCTCACTGTCTCAAAACCTTACAATGCTTGAGCATAATGAGTAAGTAAGGCTGCTTTCTGATTACTTAGTCACCATTTCTTTTTTTATTTTTTTAAATGTTTATTTATTTTTAAGCGAGAGAGAGGGAGGGGAGGGGCAGAGAGAGAGAGAGGGAGACACAGAATCTGAAACAGGCTCCAGGCTCCCATCTGTCAGCACAGAGCCCAATGTGGGGCTCAAACTCTGAACGGTGAGATCATGACCTGAGCCGAAGTCGGATGCTTAGCCAACTGAACCACACAGGCACCCCTACTTAGTCACAATTTCTAACTTTTTCCCTAGTGGGAAGGATGTGGCCCAGAATATATGGGCAAGGGAGTCGTCTAGTTACACTTAAAGTGGTGATGACTCAGCCATAGGGTCGCTGTTCTCCTGGTAGTTCCAGCTCAGCTCCACGGACTGATTCGTTACCTTCCTCAGTCCTAAAGCTTACGTTTATTAGTTTGCTGATGGTTGATCAGATTTTGGTAATCTAGTTCTGAATACAGACTTTCAGGAGACTAGGGAAGCAAAAGGGCGATTTACTAAAATTGAATGGTAAAAGATAGACCTACCAAGGGGGCTGCGTCACTTAAGGCAACTGTTGAGTGCTTTTGTTTTTATTTTTAAATTCTTAGCAGAATCCCATTAAAAACTGGAAAATTGTTCAGTGATTATAAAAAAAGAGAACATCAACACAAAGAGTTAGAAGGTCTTACAGGAGATGTCTTTCAAGCTGTAGCTGGCTAATGAATTTCTTTGTCCCACTCCAGAGATCCTCATTTGCATGTTTCCACACACACATTAAAGAGAATCAATAAACAACTTCCTTTGCATAATCTATCATCCTTTCATTTTTAATTAATTAATTTTTTTTTTTTTGCCATAAAACAGTGGACTGCTGTCAACAGAGGCTTTAAAAGTCAGAGTGGCAAAGTAAAGGTTAGTGACAGAACCACTCATAGGTGCTAGATACTCGGGCTCAGAGGGAGGTTCAGATATCCACCATTGTAGCACCATTCAGAATATTTTCACTGCTCTAAAAATCCTGTGTTCTGCCTTTTTATCCCTCCCTCTAGCCTGATTCCCAGTGACCACTAATCGTTTTAATGTCTCCACAGTTCTGCCTTTCCCTGGGTGTTGTAGAGTTGCAGTCCTGTAGTATGTAGCCTTTTCACATTGGCTGTTTTTGCTTAGCAATACTTGGTTGCTTCCAAGTTTGGGCAATTATGAATAAGGCTGCTATAAACATCATTGTGCAGGTTTTGCGTGGACATACGTTTTTCAATTCATTTGAATAAATACCAAGGAAAGAGATTGCTGGGTCGTATGATGAGAGTATGTTTAGTTTTGTGAAAAACCACCAAACTGTGTTGAAGTGGCTGTGCTATTTTGCATTCCTAGCAGCAATGAATGAGAGTTTCTGCGGCTCCACATTCTCAGCAGCATTTGGTGGTGTCACTGTTCTTGATTTTGGCCATTCTAATAGGCGTGTAGTTCTATCTCATTGTTTTAATTTGTAATTCACTAATGATATATGAGGTCGAACATATTTTCATGTGCTTACTTTCCATCTGTATATCTTCTTTGGTGAAGGTCTGTTCAGGTTTTTTGCACATTTTAAAATCAGATTGTTTCTTTTCTTTGAATTGTAAGTGTTGTTGTGTGTGTATTTTTGATAACACTTGTCAGATATGTGTTTTGCAAATATTTTCTGCCAGTCTGTGGCTTGCCTTTGCATTCTCTTGACAGTGAGGGACTTAAAGAAAACCACAATAATTACAATATCCTTATAAAATTTAAAATAATGAACAATAAGGCCCTAATATCGTCAAATGCCCAGTCAGTTTTCAAATATCCAGGTGTCTCATAAATATCATAAATTTGGGGGCACAGGGTGTGGCTCAGTCGGTTGAGCATCCAGCTCTGGATTTTGGCTCAGGTCATGATCCCAGGGTTGTGGTATCCAGCCCCAAGTCAGGCTCAGTGCTGAGCATGGAGTCTGCTTGGGATCTTCTCTCTCTTCCCCTCCCTCTCTCATGCTCTGACACTCTCTCTCAATGATAAAATAATAAACATTAAAAAAATAAATTTTACTTTTTTTACACTTTGGTTGCTTGAGTCAGGATCCAAGTATGATCCAGACATTGCAATCCCTGAAGTCTCTGATCATCTATAGGTTTCTCCCTCCCTCCATGTCTTTTTTCTCTTGCAAAGTATTTGATGAAGAAACCATAACATTCTCTCTTTTTTTTATTTTTTTATTTTTTTTTCAACGTTTATTTATTTTTGGGACAGAGAGAGACAGAGCATGAACGGGGGAGAGGCAGAGAGAGAGGGAGACACAGAATCGGAAACAGGCTCCAGGCTCTGAGCCATCAGCCCAGAGCCTGACGCGGGGCTCGAACTCACGGACCGCGAGATCGTGACCTGGCTGAAGTCGGACGCTTAACCGACTGCGCCACCCAGGCGCCCCAACATTCTCTCTTTTAATTGCTCTCAATCCTTCCTTCCACAACATTTGAGAAAATCACAAAGTTTCTCTCTATTCTAAAATCATAGAAAGACTCACTGAACAAAGAAGGGATTTCATACAATTCCAATTCCAATTAACTTCATCTGTGCTCTGCAAATAGGGGTGAGCCTTGGTTGCCAAGGGTCTGGCATGTGACACCAAGTATGCACTTGTGGAAAGAAGATAGGAAGGAAGGAGGAGATTATTTGGGGGAAAAAATCAAAGGGGAAAGCAGAGAAAATTTGATACTACATTTGTCTAAGAAAGTAGAATTGCACTTCTTTATTTGGGATACCTTCTCCTTTGAGAAGTGTTACAAAACTCTAAATTGTTAAAGACTCCTCATGATCTGGGTCTGCATCTATCTTGCCGGGCTCACCCTCACCCTCTTAAAACTTTGGTAGCATCTTA